ACACACACACACACACACACACACACACACACACATACACACACACACACACAGTGAAGTGGGTCTTGCCGTAATGGTCAAGGTTAGCAGAGTCTGACCCACATAAGGCCAGAGTAGCAGAAGGTGAAAGTGAGAGCTTCCTCTCTGATGAAAATCTATTTTCGGCCTCCACAGCAGCTTCACCAACCACCTTCAGACTGTAGTTTAACCTTTGAGTCTCCAGGCAGAGCTCAGTGAACTGCTTCATACTCTTCATATTCTTCTTATTTAAAGAAGAATATGAAGAGTTAGTACGACTGGCAGAAGGTCAATCTCACCTTCATGATAGTTCAATCAGATTGAACAGATGACTGCATGTGAATGCAGAATCTGTAAGCAACGGGACAAGATTTTGCAAAGTGTTCTGGTTTCCATTTGTAGTTTGTAGTTTTGCAGTCAAAGTAGTATTGACCAATCACGTTACAGCGGGCTTTGGTTGCATGCAGGTTAACAGTTGAGAGCAAAAGAGGCGGAAAACTTTGGCTCTCCTACCGTAGCTCTCCTACACATTTAGCACAGGGGAGAAGTTTCAGTTGGTTGCAATCTGCAGCCTCACCACTAGATGGCGCCGAATCCCACACACGGGCCCTTTATCAAACGTGATTTTCACGATCACACATTGTGCAAAACCAAAAAATATGATTTACTTCATTTAGTTTTTCTGCCAGGCCCAAAGTGTTGTGTAGAGGTTCAGGTGTTTCTTTGTCTTCACACTAGACACAAAGCCAATTTTTCGCCTGGCGCTATTACATATAAAATCAATGAAGATGCAAATAGAGACTCGCAAATCTATCAGCATTGATATTCTCCTGACTTCACTGACTTCCTGACGTTGCTGAATCAGAAATGGAGGATAAGCTCTTCCTCCTTCGTTGTGCATCTTGCGTCAGTAACGCGAGGTGAAAACTGATTGAAAGCTCCCTGACACAGAACAACCGACGCAACAACACCTGGAAACACCTGTGTGTGTGTGTGTGTGTGTGTCTGTGTGTATGTGTTGCCCTACCTCGCTGCAGGAGGAAGGGTTTGGTGTAATCCCAGCTGCTGTTGTCATTGCGGACGACGTTCAGTCTGTTGGGCTGCAGGGGGCGACAGAGCACAGCACCTCTGGGTGGGTGTGTGTGTGTGGGCTGCTTGAGAGTGAGGGCGTGTATGTGTGCATGCACCTGAGTGTGTGTTTGTCAAGAGCACTGTGGGTGCGCGAGTGTGTGTGTGTATGTGTGTGTGTGTGTTTACCCGAGCGTATTCGATCTTGAGCGTGCAGCAGCCGGCGTAGATGTCGGCTCCGTTTAGAGCCAGTTTGGCCTTCTGAGCGTCCTCCACTGACTCAAATGTTAACGAGCTCGTTAAGGATGACTCACCAGGAGGAATTTAACCAGCCAATCAGAAGACAGAAAACAAGACCCCCACTGTCCTCCAGGAGATCTACTGTCAAATTTAGAGGATCTGAATTTGATTTTCCTCAAGTTCAACTCAACTTCAACTAATCCTCCTCTGCCCTTCTGTTGTCATCATGTTGCATCTACAGCAGCTGATTTTGTATTTTTATACTGTGGAGCTCTGAGTACTGTATCCACTGACATGCAACTACACACACACACACACACACACACACACACACACACACACAGTCAGGATATTCCACCATGGCCTGGATGCCATTGCGCTTGAAGATGACGATGCGCTGGACGTTAACGATGGGGTTACAGACGGTGTAGAGAACATCCTGAGAGAGAGAGAGAGAGAAAGAGAGAGAGAGAGAGAGAGAGAGGGGGAGAGAGAGCACAGTGATGACTGGCAGAAATCACACAGCAAGAATAACCAAACTCTATTTTTTATTTCAAACATGAAATGTTTTGCAAATGATTGACAGAAATATGAGAAAACGTTTGTGGTTGGATGGTGGAAGTTCTAGTGGAGGTCTTGTTCTGGCAGAGGATGTGGTAGGTTAGGAAGTGTAAAGTAGACATAATGTAAGTGTAGGGTGGATGAAGTTCTGGTGAGGAAGGTGCAGCTAAGGAAAAGGAAGTTTATTTTCCACACATGAGAGAGGGGGTTCTGCTGGACTCACGGTGGTGATGGGGTACAGCGGGTTCTGGATGGACAGCAGCAGGACTTTGTTTCCGCTGGTGGGGTCGTCTACATTGGTGGGTCTGGTGATTCTCTGGCTGGTGGAGAAGTTGAAGAAGGCCTGCTGCTCGGCGACGCAGATGGCCTCACGAGCTCCGCACGACACGCAGCGCTCGGCGCTGTCCACGCTGTCATACTCCACCAGAGCCTGGCGCTTAAACGGCATCATCATCACGTAACTGCCGACAGAGCAGATAAGACAGGTTTATCTTAGTGTGAGACAGAGCTTCAGTCATTTTGTCATTTTATGTAGTTCTTATCACGCTGATGTATGTTCAAGTGTTCAATTCACTGACAAGTTTGGTTTTAATTAGCTATTTGAAGCTATTTGAACACAAGTCACATTTCTCAATGCTGATCCTGGCTCTGTAATTTGAGAGCTTCCATTCCTCTGTCTTCTTCTCCTGAATATTTCAAAAAGAAATGTGAGCAATTTCTCTTCACTCGGCCTCTTTCACAGCTTGGTTTTTATCAACACTTTTGAGAGTCCTTTCAGCTCTTTTAATGATCTCTTCAACACAATGAATATCTGTGATCTCAGCGGTAACACGCACACAGAGATCAGTACAGCTCCACACTGATACATCTGCAGTGGAACTGATGCTGACAGAGATAATGATTCTTGTCGTAAAGGATGCTGACACTGAAACAAGAAAGAGCAACTAGGAAATTGTGTGGCTGCTACTGCCAGAAGACGTTGCAATATATTTGCCAATATTACCAGTTATGAGTAAGCATGCACGTATCATAGGTCCGTAGGCCGCATGATGTCTGTACAAACAACTAAAAAGAAAACTGAGAAACTATGGGTGGTACGAGGCTTCACTGGAAACGCAAATATATATAGTGTTGACATACTCTTGAAAATGAGAGAAGCTATCGTTTCTCTCATTTCTGCAATTGAGATTCATAATCTTGGATTTGTGATGGACCTAAGAATTGACCTAAAAATGGTGTATGAAGAGTTAAAATGGTGGGATGACAGCAAACTGTTAGGAAAGATTACAGAATAATTCTCAAGCTCCCATTATACACACCCATTATAAAATCTGAAACGGTCCCAAAATGCTCCTGAAACCCCCGCCGTCTTTCACGGTTTTTGGGAAAACGGCGGTGTGAATATCTGAGAAAAGTCCGAGCACACTTTTCCCGATCAGGCTGTACATTTTAAAGTATTTTGATCAGGTGGCAACCTCTGGTTACAAGCCGATGTGGAAGTGTCTTAAAACTTGCATTCTCTCTCCCGAGCAGCAGGGGGCGACTCCTCCGGATGCAAAAAGAAGTCTGGTTGTATAGAAGTCTATGAGAAAATGACTCTACTTCTCTCTTGATTTATTCCCTCAGTAAACATTGTAAACATGAGTTCATGGTCTCAATCTCTAGTTTCAAGTCTTCTTCAATACAGCATGATGTTCATTTAGTAAATGATGGTCCATTTAGAGTCAAATAGACCATAAAGCAGGGGATGCTTTAGGGCGGGGCTTACCGCTGACGCTACTAGAGCCGTATACGGCGTTACTTCGTCACTCCTCCGCATTTAATTAAAATATGGTAACTTCTGTTCATTGGTTGCAAAGAAACAACAACATGGCGACGGCCGTAATCCAAGATGGCGACGGTGAAATTTGCCGAACTCAAGGCTTCAAAACGGAAGTGGTGAATGTCTGTACATCAGGTTATTCTGATGGACAGCTCAATAGTGTAAACTACCTGCTACATACAGAAATAGTTCAGTGTCAGTAATCTTTGGACTGCGTGTGAGAGAAGAGTCAAAGGAATACTGTATGTGCGGATGGAAATTTATGGAGTAAGTATTTGTTACCAGATGTTGCCAAACTTGTCGAGCGCCTCCACCAGATCAGCCTCCACCACGGCGTCACAGAGCCCTCGGACGTGGACGACCGCAGACGGAGGGATGCAGTGACTGTCCTCCACACCGTCCTGCAGAGAGAAGAGCAACTGAGACAATGAAGACAATCTACACTAGAAAGGTGCACTCAGTACAATGACGAAACTCTTTACTGCTGATACTTTAACTACATGAAGCTGAGAATACTTGTGTACTTTCACTGATGATACTTTAACTGCATGAAGCTGATAATACTTGTGTACTTTTTAACATATAGAATGCAGGACTTTTACTTGCAATGCAGTATTTTTCATGGTGTTGTTGGTATTTTTACTTCCGTTTTGTGACTCTTTGTTCAGCTTTTAGTAAAATAAAACTGTATTGATAGTCATGGGTTGTTGCAGGAGGTGTTAAAGGCGTGTTGTCTGTCTGTGCAGCGAGCCGGACGTCAGAAGACATCAGTAAGGTGTGGGTGAGAAAAAAATCATTTACAGCGAGAAAATCTTCTCATGCTGACAGAGCGACAATAAAAATATGTGTACTGTGTCTCTCAGGAAGCGCTGCAGGTTTTGCAGCCTGACCTGTTTTTTCCGCCGCAGGTTTAGACGCTTTACACCAACGCCTGCAGAAAACTGTGCTCCGAATGGGGCCTTTTGGGTTTGATGACCTCTCTAGATTTTGAGTTGCGCTTTATCTTCGCTGACTAAATGACACACGTACACACTCTTTCCTGTAGATTTAAAAAGCGTTTAAAATTTCAATTTCCCTCTTTCAAATGGAAGGTCTGTATTCCCAGTTGATGAATATATTGTGTTGTATCAATGTTGAAGTAGGCAACGTCTCGCCCATGTTTACAAAAACTTTATAACGGCATGTGTTTATACTTCTTGTCAAGATGGCGACCACACATTTGGAAACAAACCACATACAGTACTTCAAACATGACAACTGGGTTTGGATCTTACAAAATGGTTGTCTTATATTCGGTTCAATATGGTCATTAAATGCTACGCAAAATTAAATTCTGCTTCGTACGCTCCAAATATGCATAGTAATACACATGTGTATCTACCTTTCATTTTACTTAAAAATTCGAAATCCTTCAATTTTTATTCGATTTAATTTAATATTTTCTTTGTTTCATTATTTTTTATATGTATGTGTGTGTATTCAATATTTTCTTTTATTATGGGTTAGGTTTATTCTTTGTAATATGGTATATACTTTAAGTCGATTGAAGTTGATGTGTCGTTATTATGCTTATAATTAACCTACAAGCATGTATCTGTACACACGTGTATTTTTCCTTTCCCTTTCTTATCGATGTGTTTTTGTAATGCACAGATGGAAATGTTTATTCATCTTACATATTGGTATAAAATAACAGCTTTTTCTGGAGAGTCGACACAGTGGAGTGTCTTGAACAGTCGACTGTAGAAGTGTGAAGCACGTTTGCTTTGACTGATAAGCGTTCAATGTCTTTCACAGACAAACTGTGGCTGCAGCTTGGTCGTCACATCTTTATCTTGTTTGGCTAAATCATGTTTGTCTGCGTGAGTATTTTATTTTGGCTGCAGTGACCAACTGAGATGGCAACAGAGTGTTAACCTCAAACACATCCCTTCTGAGAAACATTTCTTCAGACTGTGGTCTGTTCAGACGAGCGCACATTCGACTGCACCTACGCTAGGCTCGGTTACTGTAGCAACGCCAAGCAGGAGGCAGGTGGTTGAAACATGCCGCGGCGTTGAGGAGGAAGAACAAAAGGTGCAACAGACCTATTCATGAGTCAACAATACAGAGACTGCATGCTTGTTTTTAGTTCATAGTTACGTGGGGAAAAAAAGTATTTAGTCAGCCACCAATTGTGCAAGTTCTCCCACTTAAAAAGATGAGAGATGCCTGTAATTTTCATCATAGGTACACTTCAACTATGAGAGACAGAATGGGGGGAAAGAATCCAGGAAATCACATTGTAGGATTTTTAATGAATTAATTGGTAAATTCCTTGGTAAAATAAGTATTTGGTCACCTACAAACAAGCAAGATTTCTGGCTCTCACAGACCTGTAACTTCTTCTTTAAGAGGCTCCTCTGTCCTCCACTCGTTACCTGTATTAATGGCACCTGTTTGAACTCGTTATCAGTATAAAAGACACCTGTCCACAACCTCAAACAGTCACACTCCAAACTCCACTATGGCCAAGACCAAAGAGCTGTCAAAGGACACCAGAAACAAAATTGTAGACCTGCACCAGGCTGGGAAGACTGAATCTGCAATAGGTAAGCAGCTTGGTGTGAAGAAATCAACTGTGGGAGCAATTATTAGAAAATGGAAGACATACAAGACCACTGATACTCTCCCTCGATCTGGGGCTCCACGCAAGATCTCACCCCGTGGGGTCAAAATGATCACAAGAACGGTGAACAAAAATCCCAGAACCACACGGGGGGACCTAGTGAATGACCTGCAGAGAGCTGGGACCAAAGTAACAAAGGCTACCATCAGTAACGCACTACGCCACCAGGGACTCAAATCCTGCAGTGCCAGACGTGTCCCCCTGCTTAAGCCAGTACATGTCCAGGCCCGTCTGACGTTTGCTAGAGAGCATTTGGATAATCCAGAAGAGGATTGGGAGAATGTCATATGGTCAGATGAAACCAAAATAGAACTTTTTGGTAAAAAGTCAACTCGTCGTGTTTGGAGGAGAAAGAATGCCGAGTTGCATCCAAAGAACACCATACCTACTGTGAAGCATGGGGGTGGAAACATCATGCTTTGGGGCTGTTTTTCTGCAAGGGGACCAGGACGACTGATCCGTGTAAAGGAAAGAATGAATGGGGCCATGTATCGTGAGATTTTGAGTGGAAACCTCCTTCCATCAGCAAGGGCATTGAAGATGAAACGTGGCTGGGTCTTTCAGCATGACAATGATCCCAAACACACCGCCCGGGCAACGAAGGAGTGGCTTCGTAAGAAGCATTTCAAGGTCCTGGAGTGGCCTAGCCAGTCTCCAGATCTCAACCCCATAGAAAATCTGTGGAGGGAGTTGAAAGTCCGTATTGCCCAGCGACAGCCCAAAACATCACTGCTCTAGAGGAGATCTGCATGGAGGAATGGGCCAAAATACCAGCAACAGTGTGTGAAAAGCTTGTGAAGACTTACAGAAAATGTTGGACCTCTTTCATTGCCAACAAAGGGTATATAACAAAGTATTGAGATGAACTTTTGTTATTGACCAAATACTTATTTTCCACCATAATTTGCAAATAAATTCTTTAAAAATCAGACAATGTGATTTTCTGGATTTTTTTTTTTTCTCATTTTGTCTCTCATAGTTGAGGTATACCTATGATGAAAATTACAGGCCTCTCTCATCTTTTTAAGTGGGAGAACTTGCACAATTGGTGGCTGACTAAATACTTTTTTTCCCCACTGTATCTGTATTGTGACGACAATAAGTAGAGAACGTTTTCCTCCTCTTTCTCCTCTGCAGGAGTACAGAGCAGGTGCAGCTCACACTGGCCTTTCTCTGGTGAATGCATGTGTCTTCATTACGTGTGTGTGTGTGTGTGTGTGTGTGTGTTTGAGCGTTCACTGACATCTTTCATTTCCGTCAAGCTGCTGTATCATTACAGCTCCGTCTGACTCTCCTCCTCCTCCTCCTCCTTTCCCATCTTCACCCCTCCTGCTGCCTTCACCTTCATCACCTCCTCCTCTTCCTCCGCGAGCTAACAAGCCTTTAACGAGGCTAACGAGGCAGGATGATACATCATTTATAAACCCCTAGGGTGGGTGTGTGAGTGTGGACAGAGAGGAGATCTGACGCTTTGTCCCTGTGCAGCTCCTGTAAACGGATAGAGCGCTGTGATGTCTGAACGACGTTTAAAACAAACTGTATTTTTGAAGATGAGACTGTACTGAGACTGCAGCAACACGAAAAGTTTAAAGTCCTGTTAGCGCCTCGTACAGGCTACAGCGTTCCTTACAGTTACATTATGAACAACATCTTATCGACTTTTACCACTAGGGCTTAACATTTTTAATTTGTCGTGAAGGTGGCGCTCGAGGAAAAGAAAAAACGAACAGGCTCATCCTTTGGGGAGCAAGAACGGGATCAGGACATTTACTGACAACTTATCAAGATGTTAGATTTTGATGTTTGGCCTCGTGGTGGCGCTGGAGGAAAGGTCAACAGGTTACCAAAAAGCATTACCTGACCCAGATGGTTTGTTCCACAGAACCACCTGAGAAGCCGTCAGTGGCTTTGCTTACATGAACACTGATATTCCACTATTATTCCAAATATGACAATATGTTAACATCATATTTTGCATATTCTAAACTAGGCCTTATTCCGAATGGAGCATTTACCGATTAGCATTCTTTGGACATGTATACATCGCATTCGGAATATCCGTTTTTGCGACAAACGGCCTCTTTCCTGTTTACGTGCAGCTCTGTGCGTTGTACACAAACAAACCAACCAATAGTTTGCAAAACTGGTGCAAAAGAAAAAGCCCACATTTCTCCTCGGAGGGAGAAATGCACCTACTTTTAAGCATTATGAAGGACTTGGATATCAACAGGCTTTTAGATATGCACACATATCGCAACACCAACCTTTACAAGAAGGTGGTTTCAATCTCTAGTTTCAAGTCTTCTTCAATACAGCATGATGTTCATTTAGTAAATTATGCTCTGTTTAGAGAAGATTCGACACTACCACTGCGTCACATTTCCGCAGTCTAAATATGGTCACTTCCGTTTACTGGGTGCAAAAAAACAAGATGGCGACGGCCTAAAGGCCGAACTCGAAGCATCACAACGGCAGTCAACTGATGATGTCACGACAACTAGATCCACTTATTATTTACAGTCTTTGATTTTTCCACAACAGGTTTCTGCAAATGTTTCACAATAACAACCTTGTTAGGAAATTGAGGGATTCTGTCCTATGAAATGCTTCAAGGCTTTTAATTTGAAACTTATACAGGTATCGGTACAGGTGGTGTTGAGTTTGCATTAACCGCATAATGACGTTACAAAGATTTTACGAGAGCAGGCTTGATGTCAAAATCAGAGAAGAGATGAGCGGGTTCATTTTGAAACATTTTGAAGATATGTTGCTTTTTAAAAACCTAACTTTTCAGAATAAAACGGCTCACTATTGAGGATTTTAAAGGAGGCTTCATACTAAATATTAATCAGAGTGAATTAGTTATAAAGGCATGTCTCTAATAAAAGCCTGCTTCATATGAATGCCCTTCTGCAGTTGGTGGACAAACCAATCAATGGATGGATGAATGGATTGATGAGGCTTGTTTCAGCGTTGTTTTTAGTCCGGCCGCCTGAATAAAGAAAAGAAACTCATTCAGTTTAATTTCGTGATTCATTTTGTACTCAGACTCATTCTCTGCATCAGTCGCTCCGTTTACTGAAGGACTCAGTTCTCGGGTCAGTTTTACACCTCGACTGGTGATTTGTGTTTGATCTTCTCTCTCTTATATTAAAACCATAAAGAACCTGAGATCAAAGGTGCTTTGATGTCAGCTGAAGTCTGCAGACAGCTGAATAGTATAATCCGCCGCAGCGCTGCAGGACATGCAAATCATCAGGAGGTAAAATAAAACTGACCAGTTTGAACGGTGTGACTGGTGTGTAGAAAGACAGGAACTGTACTTTAAGTGGTGGTTGGATTAAGTTAATTTTTAATCTGGTTCTGTCCTGTTTGAGAGCACTTAGCTCCATCAGAGAGGAGGCTAATTAAAAAAACAGGAGCTGCCAGATTTGAATAATTCAAATGTTAAAACTGGTCTGCAGCGTTGAGATGTGGACAGACTTTCTGTCTGTCTGTCTGTCTGTCTGTCCACAAACAGCTTCAAACTGACTTTAGCCTCTGCCGGTCTAAATTGGTGTCTCGGGCCGTCGGGGGAAAAACATTGTTGCTTGGTTGTCTGTTAGTCCCATGATGCTCTCTGTCTGCAGACCATTGACTCATCGGTTGAGGAGGCAGGAAGCAGCAGCCAGTGGGCTGTTTCATCAGACTTCAACAAACCTTCTTACATCCTCCAGTGTGTCAAGATAAAACACACACATGCAGACAAACTCACATTTACCGAACATTACATTGCACATATATCTATCTCCAGATGTGTGCAGCCTCTTCTGCATCCCTAAATCAGAGCGTCAAACTCAGAGAGGATTTCTTAAACCTTACAGAACCAGGATCACCAAAGTTATTACAGTTCATCTTGTGAATGCCTCAACCAGTCATGAAATGGTGAGATATTTCACTCCAAAGCCAAAAATGTGAATCCCACACATTTGTGCAGTGGATTGTTTTTTTGAATTCTAGCTTTAATTAGACGTATATGTTATTATATAATGTTATCTTGGAGTTCACCTCTTCCTAAACACAGACCCAAGCAGAATACCACAGGTACATTTATCAAAGTGAACAGATGGCCTCACTTCCTGCTGAGTGCGGCCACTTCCTGTTACTGCCAGAACCTCACAGAGAGGCCAGAACGTCCCAGCGAGCAGAGGATCAGAGTGGACGGATAATACTAGAATAAAAATATACAAATATCTGCAAGCTACAGGAGACTGGCTTATAAAACAACTCTTAGAAGTCTTCATGCGGCTCACCGAGCTTTACTGGAGCACCTCGGTGAAGTGCTGTTGGACGGGTCTCTAAACACTGTGGTGAGGTCAGATCATTTGAGGTGATTACAAAACAATACAGTATAGATAGACTGTATAACAGTAGACGTAGCCTGCGATTCTGAAAAGTGAAGCGAATGCGTAAGTGTGTTAAACTTGCATTCTCTCTCATGGCCGGCAGATTCTATACAATCTATACAGATTGTATAGAAGTCTATGAGAAAATGACCCTATTTCTCTCTTGATTTATTACCTCAGTAAACATTGTACACATGAGTTAATGGTCTCAATCAATAGTTTCAATAGAGCATGATGTTCATTTAGAAAATCATGGCCCCAGTAAAATTGACGATAAAGCAGGGTATGCTTCAGGGCGTGGCTAACTTGTGATTGACAGGCCGCCACCACGTTCACTTGTCAATCAGGATCGTGGCGTAGCGATGCGTATGCCTCCCAAGCTCCACCCTCTCTTCCAAAATTTGATGACATCTGGCTCCAAAAAACCAAGATGGCAACGGCAACAATGCAAAACCCAAGGCTTCAAAACAGCTGTCTACAAACCAATGGGTGACGTCACAGTGGCTACGTCCACGCCTATGACAGTCCACTAGGGCTGCAACTAACCATTGTTTTCATCAACGATTAATCTGCTGGTTGTTGGTCTACAGGTCGAAACAAAGTGAAAAATGTCCATGCGTCCAATAAGGTTTGGGAAAAGATCCTTGTTTGCGTTACAATAACTACAGAAGTGCCGTTACTGAAGTACGCAAGTTACATGAAAAACAAATCAATGTTTGTTTGTTTGGGTATCGGTCGATAAGTACCGATATAGATCCAGCTATTTGAGTCAGTATCGGACCGATAGCAGCTCTAGTCGAATCGCCAACCCTGTGACGACCTGCTCTTCCTCCAGAACATTTAAACCTTCCGATACATGAAGCTCCTTGAGCCTTCTAAAACCATCTCTTACAAAGCTTTTCATTTTAAAATAACAACAAAATAAGGTTTAATAAGGAACACCATGAACAAGCATCTTCAAAACCTCTGCTAAACCCCACTTAAGACATCCACAAAGAAGCTCCTCCTGAAGAAACGATATATCTATTTTAATGCTGCATGAAGTTTGATGCCTCTTTATTGTCAGGGCTTTATTCTGCAAACCTAGACCTCTCTGTCATTTGCTCTACAGTGAACTAATTTAATTTAAAATATTTTTAAATACTGAGAACAAGTGCAGAGGAAATTATTTTTTGTGTGTGTTTGTTTTCTGTTAAATATAAATTCCATATTACAAACATTATTCATATTCTTAGCGAGATTTCAACAGCAGGATTGACAGAAGCTGTTCCCCACCTTGGTCCCTCGGATCCTGCGGCTCCTGCTCTCGGTGACGCCGCTCCTCGCTGCCTCCTCTCCGGCGGAGTCCTGCTCCCCGTCCTCCAGCTCCTCTCCGCCGGCCTCCTCTTCCGTCCGGAGCCGCTTGGCTGCCCGGTGGTATCCTCCTCCTCCTCCTCCTCCTCCTCCTCTGTCTTCTCTCTCCTCCATCACGGACGAGACGGTGAATTCACGGATGAAGATGATCGGTTTGACGGAGGAAGAGACGCTAACACCTGCCAGGACTGAATCAATCTCTCTCTCTCTCTCTCTCTCTCTCTCTCTCTCTCTCTCTACAGATAGGAAATACACTCACTCCGCCACAATGTCAAGAGCAAAACACAGACGCTCACATGCAGCGTCATTATTACCATATAATGATTAGTTTAGACCACGTGCAGAGATGACTGATTATTTGGTTTTACTTGTATGATCTAAACAGATCAAAGCTGATTCTGTCTGCAGTGCAGAGGTTATTTTAACATCATCTGTTCTGCTCAATGATTTTAAACTGCATCACTGCAGCAGCCTCTAGTGTCTGCTTACTGGACTTCAGTATATTTAATTTTTTTATTTTTTATTAAAGTGTAACTTTATCCACCAGGTCTCTGCATAAGCGCACCCAGTGCATAGTTTAAAAAAAATGCTAAAGATATTTGGGAACATTATATAATGTGATTTATTTCTTGATTATATGTCAGTCAAATCAAATACATCAAATAAATGTAGTGGAGTAAAAAGTAGAATATTTTCCCCTGAGAAGCAGGCCTAGAAGAAACCAGTAAAACAATGTAAAATACCCCAGTACAGTACCAGTGTGCCTTGAACTTACAGTACTTACATCAATGAAGAGCTGAAAACTGAACTAGTCTCAAATCATTCAGACTGAAGTCTAAACTGAAGGAGACGAGACGGTGAGATGTGCTACTTTCTGCTTGACGAGAGACTCAAATGAGGACAGAGTCGGTGGTCTCTCTGCAGCTGCTTCCTCCAGGTGGAGCCCACCTGTTAAACTGCTGCACCTCAGCGTCTGAAGAGGAGCACCAACTTCAGTGTTTATCATATTTACTCTCCTAACAACTTGACATCTGAGACTTCCCATGTGGGTTGTTTTGTGTTATATTTCGATATTGTGGGATGACTGTATGATTGAAATACAATTGTTTAACAATGGGCATCATGCAAGAATCCTATTACACGTTATAGTTATGTTGATATTTTCCTGTTTTACTCTGCAATTTGAATTATAATATAATTCAAAATTGGCTTTTGAAGCTCTGTAAACCTCTGCGGTATTAATGTGAACATCTGAAGCTGCAAAACGACTTACAACCGACTGGCGGCTGATATAGTTTTTGTGCAGAAGCGTTGCAAAATGGATCAATAGCGCTCTCTGTTGAGTAGCCCCCTGCAGTGCGTTTCACCTTGAGGTTTGACATTTAGTAGGTATATGTAACATTACATTAAAAAAACGTGTCTTGGAGGTATACTATAAATCCAACAGGAAGTAGCCATTTTGAATTTGAGCCATTGAATTTTTAAGGCACTATACTTTAACGCAGTCCTCCAGAGAACTAATTAGATCAATTTCAAATTTGGTCAGAACAATTTAAAGACCGTTATTATAAAAAAGTGATCAAAATCTTGAGTTTTTATGGAACGACCTTACCGTGGCGGCCATTTTGTGCGATTGGCCATGAAACAGGAAGTGGTTTTAAATCAGCATGCACATTCCTCAAACATCCTGAAAACGTTTACATGCCACCAGTGACTCATAGTCATAGCAACACCTACTAACAACAGGAAATGACATGTTTTATACTCTCGTGTACTTCTCCTATAGCGGGTTGACCAGATCCACCTCAAATGTGGTCCAGAAGGGCCTTAAGACCTTGATGATGCTTAATTGTGAAGATTGTGAGTTTTCATTGAACGCTGCTGCTGTGGCGATGCATTATCCACAATGAAACAGGAAGTTGCTTTTTTAGTGGGTTGGGTTTCTCGAAAACTCGTGAAACTTTGCACACATGTCAGAAACAATGAAAACAGATTTCTGATGTGCGTTTTTGGCTCGGACATGAAAAATTGGCTCGCTAGCCCCACCCCCCCTACAAAATTAGAAAGAAGTAGCCCTTGTGGGTTTCCTTTGAAAGCACTTTGCCCTGGTTTGGAAATTACATTTTCTATAAATAAAATGTATATAATTATTATAAAAAGCTGACTGACATCTCTGTGGCTGTGAGAAAAAAAGCTTCACCTGTCAAGAGTTTCTTTTATTTTGTCAGGTTAGCAGTTCTGGCTTTGTTTAGGGCTTTTGGACATTTTTTTTTTTTTACACAGTGAAGATGTAAATAAACAATCGTTTGATGTCACTCACACCTCCTACATCTCTCTCTCTCTCTCTGTTTACGCCAAATACTCAAGTCTCAGACACATTTTAATGAACTGAAAACAAACAGTTTTAGACATTTTATTGATGTGAATATTTTGTAATGCACATTTTGAACACTACCACAGTGCATTTCAGGTTATATATTAGTGTTTTTTAATTATCATGACAACAAACACACATCTTGAAAAAAAAATATTTTCTTCTGGAAAGACAGCCATGTTTCTGTGACATCAAGAGTGGCCATAGGTGACCTGTGTGTGTGTTCAGTATTATTTTCATGCTGTCCCACGCCAGTTAGAGACAACAGAGCGCTTCACTCTGCTGGCTCTCTGTATATACACTTATCTTGTGAGCACAAATGAATCGAAAGAAGGGAACAATTAAATTAAATTAAGGGAACAAATCAAATGTTATGCCTACCAATTAGTAAATTGTGGCCTCAAGATGCATATTTTCTCTTTATGGCCTCTCCAAAGCTCTGTAAAAATACTCCATTACAGGTTAAATTCATGAATTAAAATGTTTATTTAAGTTAAATGAAAAAGTATTCCAAACAAAATGTACATGCTGAATTGTTGCTCCAGGTCTCTACACTGGAAATTAAATGTGAAATAAGTAGCAACATCTGCAGAGCAGGTGAAACTCTTTGGTCTCTTTCCCCAGATCAGCCCATTGATGAGCATGTTTATGACAAAAACCTTGTGGACGTTTCAATTATAAATATAAGCTGATTGTTATAGCATGCCCTGAGCATCACCAACATTCATGTAGTGTTTTCTTTGCTTCCACTTCAAAACCTTGTTGTATTATTGCCTGCTTGTTATTGTCTTCTCGTCCCACTATCTCCATCTGACTTCCTGCAGGCATGTGGTAGAGTGCTGCTGAGTCCTAAATAAGTCAGCATTTTTGCACTTCATGCTCCCTCGTCTCAAAGTCAATGGGTTTGTGGTTAGATGCCTAACATAAGGTCTGTGATTAACAGGAGCTGAAGATATTCAAGCATAAACATAGGTCGTTGATAACAAGTGGGTAAATGAGACTACTGAACGTCATCACTAGAACACTAGTTAGTTTATAGCTTAACGTAAGCTTTTTACTTCTGCCGATTGCGTTCACCCTTTTAAAAAAATCATAAAACTGGTGTTTATTTGTGACGATTATCATGCTGAGTGAAGACGTGTGAGTCACTTGAACTTTTGTTTGACACAGAGCTTTTTTTTTCCAGGAATAATCCAAAATCGAATGGAAAAATCACATTGGCCTTCGAGGGAGGTTTCACACCTGCAACGTTGAAAGTCCAGACTAAACAAGGCTAATTCAACTTGTGCTACTGCTGCATTGTAACATAAACACATGTCAACTGTCAACGTATTATAAGCCCAACTATGATTGTTTCCTAAACCTAAGTGGTTTTATTGCCTAAACGTAACGTTCGTTTTGTTATATATTGTTTTTGTGGTGCCGACATTTAATTTGAACTTATTAAGTGTCCACCACCACGTAATGCGTTGTGTATTTCTAGTAGATCAGGTTGGATGATCAAGGCGACGTTGTGGGAACCTGCCCGACGTCATCTTCAACATCATACACACACACACACACACACACACAGTGTTTTCTCTCGCTGGATCCTTTCATTGGCAAACAAACTGTAATTTAAAAAATCTATGTTGAAGGGTAGGTCGACTATTTAAAAATGGTGGGTTTGTGCAGGGTGTCCCGTGTCGAGCTAGTTACGATTCTAGAGAAGATTCTCTCTGACCAATCAGTGGTCTGCAGGGTTTGAACTCACCCTTCTATTGAATAGCAGCGACCGAGGTGAAAAAAACCTTTATGACCTGAAAGCCTGTATAAACCTTCACTTTGGCAATGAATCCATAACTTACCCTCCCAGTCTGTCTGCATTTGGATCCTATCCCTATTGCCATTACAACATAACTGTGTTTTTCCAAAACATCAGGTAAGGGCTGCCCATGTTATGAGACATGAAACGTCTCAATTTCTGGGACGAAGTCCAACAGAACAAACAGAACAGATGTAGAGGAAGACAAATGTTAAGGTTTCCCCGCAAAACTCCAGTTACTGAGGCTGCTTTTTGTTGAGATAATTTATCAGTATGTTCTTTTAGATGTAACTTGTATCGTTTAACTCTGAACATTGGATCTATTGCTCCTGAAACATGAAGCATCTTGGATACTTAAACTAAACACACTATCACCAAATGGGCTGAATTAAAACTTGAGATGTTTCCTTATATGTTGATTTCAACTGTTTTGATACAATTTGTTGGAAATTAAATTGGAATTTGATTTCTGTTCTTTTTTTGGGCTAGATTGATGCATTTCAATGTAACCACAACATGTTGCCGAAATATGTAAAGCACAGGTGTCAATGCAGGTGATATATTTGATGTCTGCAATGATTTATGTTATGTGGAACTGCATTTTGTCCCCAGGCAAATCCCCACAATGTGACTGTGTAAACAGATTCATGTGCCCACAATGCTGGTAAAACACAAACTCACGAACACACAAAGCACCTCCCTCTCACTGTAATCTATAAAATTGTAAGGAGCCGAGGGAGACACAGAGACACATTAGAGGAGGAGCAGAGACGGAGTTCAGACAGCGGATTCTGTGGGACACACTGATCTCGTCACCATGCTGTTCGAGGAGATCCTGGACGATGTCGGCGGCTTCTCCAAGTTCCAGTTCCTGCTCGTGTCCATCCTGTGCCTGCCCCGCGCCATCCTCCCCCTCCACTTCATGCTGTACAACTTCATCTCTGTGACACCTCCTCACCGCTGTGCCCGCTCACACCGTCCTCTGGGCTCAGAGGACGGTGGCGTGGCGTCGCTGGGCTCCGATCCCGAAGCGCTGGCCCTCAGGATCCCCCTTCAGAACGACGGCTCCTTGAGCTCCTGCAGAGTCTACGACCCCCAGCTGGTCTTTGACCTCGGCCCAGGAAATAGAACGGCACCTTGTCCCCACGGCTGGATCTACGACCAATCACAGTTCAAGTCCACAACGGCCACCGAGGTAAAGAAAAGCTCATTTATATCTATCGAAGCATTTTCTCTATTTCCTGCACTTGAATGTTGAAGTGGACTTCAAAGTCAAAGTGAGTTGAAAGTGAAATCATTGAAAAGTTTAAATTCCTGCACCACCGCAATCAAGACTATTAGCAGTGGTGGCGGAAGTACGCAGATCTAAAAGAAGTAAAAGTAGTAATACCACAGTGTAGGAATACTCTGTAACAATTAAAAGTCCTGCTTTCAAAATGTTAATGAAGTAAAAGTACAAAAGTATTAGCATCAAAATATGTTTTTTGTCCCAAAAGTAAAAGTATTCACTATATAGAATAGCCCATTTCAGAATAATATATACTATATTGGATTATAATTTTGGATCCATTCATGTTTAGAAGTTATGTTGACGTTTCTAAAGCTGCAGTTCCTCTAGTGTCCACTAGATGCTGCTCCAAGAAAAGAGTGACTGTGTCGATGTAAATGTGGAAACCTACGACTTCATTCACTGTTTCTGATGTCGGCCTGAGCTCCGAGTGGGAAAACAATGTTCACAGTAATCACAAAATGAAATCCCTCATAAGCCCCTCAAACAGACAGGTGTTTTAACCAGAGCTGTCTCTCTGCAGTGGGATCTGGTGTGTGAAGACAAACATCTGAATCAAGCTCTCGCTACATATTTCTTCCTCGGTGTCACGGTCGGAGCCATTCTGTTCGGACATCTTTCTGACAAGTGAGTTCTTCAGGATTCATTAAACCCTCACAGTGATCTGGTGCTGTGGCACTGGAGAGGGATCAATACCGTTTATTAATCATTAAACATCACCCCTTTCTGCAGCATCAATGAAGTAGTTATAAAGACCTAAAAGTCTGTTTTTCTAGAAATAAGCTCTGCGCGTACACACACACACACACACACACACACACACACACACACACTTTTTTTTTGAAATTGTTAAAATCCAATGGTGGATACAATCTAATAGGGTTAGACTGAACTGAAACACTCTTTTGTGCACCAGTCAATCCTAAAATTAAATACCGAGCCTAATCTAATATACGTTGAAGCAGGGCTGGGCTGATTATGCAATATGATGATTTTCTCCATATTCCCCAGCCATACGTTCAAGGGTCTTCTTGAATATGTCTGCGGTGTTGGTAATAGTATCTTAAATGTATGTATCCTTGTTTCTTTTCCAAAAAGTTTTTGTCTTCATTGATGTTACAATTTGAGCTGCTGGGATGCAGGACACATTTCAGACTTGATCTGTCAATAGACAGTTGACGCTCTCTACCAGGTGAGCTAGATTTGATCAAAGGGATGCGTTTGTGCTGCAGGTTCGGTCGTAAGTCGATGCTCCTGGTGGCTTTAATCACCTCCACCACGTTTGGAGTCACCTCGGCCTTCTCCACCTCCTACGTCATGTTCGTCGTCTGCAGGGCGCTCTGCGGCGTGGCCCTCAGCGGACTGTCGGTCATCGGCGTGGTCCTCGGTAAGAACTCAGAGATGCGATTCAAACCAGAAACACTTTCACTTCGAGCTCACGTCTGTGTCGAAACGTATACCGACAATTTTCACATTCACCGTTTCAAGACCGGAGGAACTCTTTTGTAGCTCTAAGAACTAGGGTTGGGCGAAGTCCCGATCCGAAATGGGATTGACCTGAACAGGTCAATCGCATTTCAATATTATTTATCTTTAGTAATTTATCTTTAGTAAAGGTCATTAGGTACCCTTTAAGAGTATTGGGACCATAAACCAAGGTGATGGCTTGATCCTCATCCGTAATTAGTTGAGTCTCAAGGTTTGTTAGATGTGTTAATACAGAACGTGAGACTGGACGGTGAATTACTAGGAAAATATGTGTTGGTGTTGGCTTTGATGGTGTTGCCATTCTCTCCCTAGGCTGGTCTTGAATGCGTTGACTGAGGATGCACTAACTGTTACTTGACTCAGGCTGTTCCATACTGGTGTTGTTCTACTTGAGAAAAAAGGTTTCCGTGGACCAGGCTGGTGTTGTACCTGTAGTTTCTGATCGTGACCTCCCGTAGTGGTGCTGAGGGATTTTTTAAACATACTATTGCCACATACTTCACAACATCTGTCAGACTGTACGCTATCGATTCCTGTCAGTATTTTAAAAGTTTGGACCATGTCGGCTCGTTTGCGTCGAAATTCTAGCGTTTGCAAGTTGAGGCTGGCAGTCTTTCGAGGGTATGAGAAGTTTGAGAGGCCGTGCACTAGTCTAGTTGCTCGTCTCTGAACTTGTTCCAAGATTGGAGATGGTCCAAGTCACACTGAAGACTGGAGTGCTGCTTGTCATGTAGCTGTGATATGACTTCAAATATCTTAGTGTCGTCAGCAAACATCAGGACAAAGTTGTTGAGGAAATCCGGTATATCAGCCACAAATAGTACAAACAGCAAAGGGCCAAGTACTGAGCCTTGAGGTACCCCGCTGTTGACGCTTGCAAAATCAGAGAATTGTCCATTTACCACTACTCGTTGTCTGCGGTTGGTAAGAAAGTTACGGATCCATTGAAGTATGTTGTCTTGGATGCCAAAGGTTGAAAGTTGAAGAAGTCTCTCGTGTGGAACCGTATCAAAGGCCTTAGCGTAGTCTAGGAAGAGAATATCGACTGGAAGCTTGTGACTAAGGGCTTCAGTCCAGATGTCGATTGCTTCCAGTAGATTAGTAACTGTTGATCTGCCGGTCGTGAAGCCGTGCTGTTGCTTGCATAGAAGGTCGTTGGATTTCAGGTGCTCCCTGATGTCTTCAGCAATCAGTCTTTCCATGAGTTTGCACACTACCGACGTAAGTGAGACGGGCCTGTAGTTTGCTGGGTCAGACTTGTCGCCTTTTTTGAAGATGGGGGTTACTGTTGCCGTTTTCCACTGTACGGGTACCTCGCCGCTGGCTAGGCTTGTGTTGAACAGGCTACACAATGGTGAAACAAGGATATCAGCCATTTCCTTGAGTAATCGGTTGTGGATCTGGTCAGGCCCCGGGGATTTGTCTGTTCTGATGGATCTGAGCTTTTTGAGTATTCTGTCCTCTGTAATCGAAATCCGCAGGTCTGAGGTCAGCAGCTTTGCTGTGAATGTTGGCATGGTGGTGGTATCCTCTCTAGGGTTGGGTACCGAAACTCGGTGCCATATTGGCACCGGTTCCTATACGACCTGTATCTACCGGACTGAAAGGCAACGAAGATTTTGGTGCTTCCTTTCGGTGCCTGAGCCGATTGAAATACTTTTTTTACACTACTCTGATGACTCCTTCCTAGCTCGTCCTAGGACCGATGCTAACGATAGCATCGGTCCTCCGCTCCTCACTCATAGTATTATTACAACCGGCTGAGCTGTGCGCGCTTAGAAACAAACCCCTCCATCATTCTAGCGAAGCTTCGGCCATGATTTATTAAAAAAAACGAGAACGAGATCTGTCAAACGGCTGGGAGGCTACTGACTTCCTCCATCGACATCCGGGTACTTAGCGCTGCCGCTCATAAGCACAACAACCACAGGCACGCGAAACTTTCTTCTTCTTCTTCTTTGAGGTGTAGTGGCGGTTGGCAAACGATGAATTGGCGCATTAGCGCCACCAACTGGTAAAATAAAATAAAAGAACTCAGGAGGGGTGTCGTATTTTGCCAAATATGCTCATATTTCTGCAAAATAATTGCTGAAGTTTGAAGCTGTAGTGTGTGTACAGAGTGTGTGTGTGTTTTGTATTTATTTAAGTATACTGTAAACTGTTAACAGTTAATATATTGTTCATAGTTTGAAGTTAAAAAGTTTGAAGCTGTAGTTTGAAGCCAAGTGTTTTGTATTTATTCATATTTATAGTATACTTTAAACAGTTAATATATTGTTCAATTTGAAGAAAAAAGTATCGGTTCAGGCACTGTTTAGGCACCGGTATCGTTTAAAAAGTATCGTTTTAGCACCGGTATCGGAAAAAACCCAAATGATACCCATCCCTAATCCTCTCTGGTGAAAATACCTGATTATTGGTCATTTAGAATATTGGCTTTGCTCTTGTCGTCGCTGTTGTAGGTTCCATCCTTGTTCTTCAGATCCGCGATATTTGGTCTAATTGTTCTGCGGCTGTTTACATAGTTCCAGAAGGCTTTGCTGTTGGTGCGTGAGTCTTTTGCCAGCTTGTGCTCAAAGTCCCGTCTAGCCTTTCTTGCCGCATGAGTTGCCTCGTTCCTTGCTGTGATGTATGTCTGGTAATCAATATATAATACCAATGTCCACAGGTAGAAATCTGGCTCAACCTGGTTCTCTGTCTCGACACATTTCACTGCAGTCTGTTTGCTCTTATCGTGCTCTTCCTGCTCAGGTATCGAGTGGACGGACGTGAAGCACCGGACCTTGGCCGGTATCGTCATGAGTTTGTCTTGGAGCATGGGGAACATGCTCCTGGCCCCGCTGGCCTACTTCATACGTGACTGGAGACACCTGACGCTGGCGGTGACGATGCCCTGCACCGCCGCCATCATCGCCTGGTGGTGAGGTGGATGTTAGGAGATTCTATTCTACATGCTGACGGTAAATATCTCAGTGTCTCTGTGTTTTGTAAAGGCCAGTTTCCTCATGTCCGTGCTCAGGTGGCTGCCGGAGTCGGCCCGCTGGCTGCTTACCAACGGCAGAGTAGAGGAGGCCAAGAAGTATCTGGTTCAGTGCGCTAAAATGAACAAGAAGAACGAATGCACATCCAGCCTGGAAACTGAGGTACAGCCTCCCGACTCCATGTAAACATCCATTGATCAAAGTTACCGATGAGTTTAGTACCCAAATCTGTTAGAAAACACTGTTTCAAAAATGACCTAACATATCTTTGACATTTTGTCTGCTGACTGTAGTATCTGTTATATCTGCAATGAGCTAATAGCTCTTCTGTTGATGTGACGTCGTCTCTGTGTTTGACCGTGTACTTGATTCAGGCTCTGAGGAAGATAACGGTGGCTGAGAAGAACCACTCCTACCTGGATCTGGTCAAAACACCCCACCTGAGAAAGATCACCCTCTGCTCTGGATTGTTCTGGTACCGAATCCTCCTCTGACCTTAAAAATATGTTGCCTGGTGCCGTGTGTGTGTATGTGTGTGTGAGATATGAAGGCAAATCACTGTCAAAATCCGAGTTCCATGCGTGTGCGAAAATCAAACAGCCGCGCGCGGATTTTACTTTGACGCTTTTACGTCACTCCGCGAGCAAAATTCACTCTCGCGCTCGCAAAAGTCGCTCGCAAAACTTTAACCTGCTGGCTCGCGAGTCTTTTTCCTGCTCGCTCGCGAGTAGTTTTTCTTTTTGACAGTAAGTGGGCGGACCCAGTCTCCATTGTATCTCTACATCTAATTGGTTACAATCCTCGTCTTGGGATAGACCGGATATTACTCTGACACAGACACTCGGGGGAGATTTTCAGATTGCAGGTCAGGGGCAAATAATGTACATTTTACTGCACGGGTACTTTTACTTGCTGCACTTAAAGTACATTTTGCTGATAATAACATTGACTAAGGTTTTTAATGCAGGTATTTTACTCGTAATGGATTATTGTTTCATCAGTATGGTATTAGTATACGTTTACTGCAGTGAAGGATCTGAATACTTTTTCATCCACTAACTACTTGTCAGTGATTTAACAGTTTATATACAAACAGTGGTCCCTAATCTTGGCTCCAGATCTTTGAGCAGGTCCAAATTGTTGCTCATATTATATACAACTATATTATATCTCTTCTGTAAACACAACAGTATGATTAAATATGACCACATCATGTTTTAATCAATTAAGATCAAAGAGTTTCTTTGAGCTGTTTGTCACAAGAGGTTTGAGTATCAAACACACATTGTCTGTAATAGAATGATGGAGTGAATTCAAACCAATCTGAGCAACTTGACTTTAACACATTTTTAATTATTGTATTTAACAACTCTATTAACAGAATTTGTATTTCATCAGCCTCTACGGTCTGAAAACTTCACAAAACCTGTCGGACAAATGTAGAACATCTTGAGATGTAGTGGAGTAGTGTTTAGTGGCGGATTGAAAACCACCTCTATCAGAACTAGCGTCTGCGTCAGAGTGATATCCGGTTTATCCAAAGACGAGGATTGTAACCAATTAGATGTAGAGATACAATGGAGACTGGGTCCACCCACTTACTGTCAAAAAGAAAAACTACTCGCGAGCGAGCAGGTTTAAGCTTCGCGAGCAGGTTTAAGCTTCGCGAGCGACTTTTGCTCGCGCGAGAGAAAATTCTGCTCGCGGAGTGATGTAAAAGCACTCGTCAAAGTAAAATCCGCGCGCGGCTGTTTGATTTTCACACGCGCACGGATCTCATTTGCGCTCTCGGATTTTGACAGTGATTTGCCTTCATAGTGAGAGTTCATACTCGCCGTGTTCCTGCAGGTTTGCTGCTGCCTCCCTGTACTACGGGATCAGCTTCAGGATCTCAGGTTTCGGAGTCAGTATCTACCTCACACAGTTTATCTACGGCGCCATCGAAGTTCCCGCCAAAATCCTGAGCTATTTCGTCCTGGACTGGATCGGCAGGCGGAACAGCCAGGCGGGGTTTCTGATCACAACCGGAGCTCTGATTGGAATAAACACAGCCATTCCTTTAGGTGACATCACTTCCTGTCTCTGCATACACATCCACGACCGTTCAGAATTAAGATGGAATTGAAAGGCAACATGTTGCTTTAGCAAAGCTCTTAAACCTTCACAATACAAACAGAAGGTTCTTTATCTTTCACTGCTGAATGAGTTTGACATCCTGGATATATTCTTCAAATGCACATTGCAGACCCTTCTGTTTGTTTCTCTCTGAAATCACCTTAGCGAAAGAAAAGGTCACTTATGCTTTTCTGGACTGGAAAACAATTTCAAAATCCAAGTTCTAACGTATTCTTCCCTGTCATGTAACAATGTGGGAACATCAACCAAAGGGAAGTTTGGATACTTGAATTATTGGTCTTTTGGGGCCAAAACTTATTCAAATGTAACTAATACATTTGGTGTCTGAATTATACAGTTCTTAAAATAAAATCTGTTTTATAATAGCCATTATGAAAGGAAAGAAGAAAAACATCACTATAGCAGCTGATCGATAACTTTTCAGCGGTATAAGACATCTCACCTTAAATAGAAAAAGATCACTGACACCCTCACACGTCTTTGATATTCTGCTTCTCTCTCAGATTACTCGGTGCTTCGTACGTGCATCGCTGTGGTGGCGAAGGGTTTCTCAGAGGCGGCGTTGGCCACAGCGTTCCTTTACACAACTGAGCTCTACCCAACCATCCTCAGGTAAAACCCCCGACCCTGAAACCACCAGGGTCCATCTAAAGGACTCTGGACTGATGCTGCTTTTACTTACAGAGCATTATTACTCAGCGTGAGTGAAAAGAGCAGTGGACAAGCTACTTTGAAGTTAAATAAATGCAGTGAAGAAAAAAGTATAAAGTAGCATATAATGTAAACTCTAGAGTTAAATACCTCAAAATCGTAAGTACAGTAATTGAGTAAATAGTTATGATCCACCATTGCAGAAGCCTGTTTTTTAGTAATATAAGAGTAAAAGAAATGCCAGATTATTGCACATTTTTGCTTCATTTGTTTGTATTTCCTTCTCAAGCTGCATTTTGTGTTGCTCCTCTCAGGATTAACTTGATCTTTCGTTGAATTTTGACTTCTAATTGCTGCGAGATCACTTGCATCTACTTTGAACCAATCTGAAGCTTTTTTCCTGATTATATCTTGTGAGAGAAGCTGTCATGCTAATAAGTCAACAAAACGTATTGTGTGTTTATAATACATATTGTGAATAAAGCGTACATTTCTCTTTAACATTTTCATTTAAATCGAGATTTCCCACAATTCTGACAAATATAAACTAGATCTGGAATAATGCTAAACCTTTCATGCATAAATTATGACAGTCCGGATTTGTTTGTGTTTTTATTCCTCATAGGGCAGTACATTATTAATCTTAAACATTGATTTTTTTGCATGTCCACTTAACAGTATGCGTTTGAGTTTTCAACTGAAGAAATATGTATTTAAAAAACAAACAAATAAAATGACAATCATGGGAAAACTATAAAATAACATATACTTTTATTTCTGTTGAACTAGGGTGTTCACATATTCTAACATTTTCAAGGAGTTCAATGCAATGCAAGATATGGTGGAGCTGGTTCCTCTTATTATTGTATTTGTTGCAGAAACCGCAAGTTGCAGACTGATAACATAATTCAATTGAATTACTGCAGACTAAGTTTTTTCAAGAACAACAAAATGGCATTAATTGCACTAATTGTGAAGTTAGTTGTAATATAGCCTGCAATGCATGACCTCCAATTTAGTGGACAGAGGATCAATTGTAATTTCCTCCCAACATAAAATCCAAGAAAAATCCAGATTTTAACAACTGTGTTAGTCCTTAGTGGTTAGTTGATGTTACCAGACTGTATTTACCTGCATTCTACTGTGGAAGAATTAAAAAGATATTCCTGAGCTGCTCAGCGTTTCTGGACCGTCAGGCAGCCATCTTGGTTTTGAGGAATTTGTGTTGCACTTATAACGGCTGGCCAGTTAGTGGCAGTATATAGTATGATGCACTAGGGTCCACTATCCTCTGTTCTCTTGAAATCTGCAGCATTAATATAGATAAATAAATAAATAAACTGAAGTTCCCAGTTGGTTTGTTTTTACAGGCAGCATGGTTTAGGCTACACCTCGTGTATCGGTCGGATCGGGATCTCCCTGGCTCCGATTATCATGTTGCTGGAGGACGTCTGGCTTCTTCTGCCGCCGCTGATCTTCGCAGGGATGGGTATCATCAGCGGCAGCTTGGTCTTCATGCTCCCAGAGACACACAACCTCTGTCTGCCCGAAAACATCTACGATGTCGAGGAGGGAAGGTAGAGCACTTCCGTTTTAATGTTTACTGCTTTATTTCTGTGGTCAAGTCACTGATCTGTGTCATAATCTGTAAAAGCACGCCTGACTGTCATGCAGCAAACTGAACTTTTAACGGCTCTGCCACAATGTTCACCTGTTCTCACTCCCAACTCTGATGTAGCGATGCACACTTTAGCATCTGTATGAGACCTACCGGGCATTCAACTAAATCCAAACCTATGCGTATCATTATCAGACGGTCAGAGCAATGGATGTATAAAGAGCAACTAAGTCCTCTTAGTAGAGGTCGTACAGGTCAAACAAACACAGGACTTTCACCCAGTAGACCGCTGTTTGTGTCCCATGAAAAATCAAGTCAGGGCTGACTTTTTTTACATTACATTACATTACAGTCATTTAGCAGACGCTTTTATCCAAAGCGACTTACAATTCAGAGTCTATCACATTTCTACACCGTAGGCACAGCTACGGGAGCAATTTTGGGGTTAAGTGTCTTGCTCAAGGACACATCGACATGCGCCTAGTGGAGCCGGGGTTCTAACCGCCGACCCTCTGATTGAAAGACGGCCCTGCTATCCACTTAGCCACAATCGCCCAGAAGTATTGTTTACGAGTATTGTTATGTAAATGTCAGGGACATCCTCCCTGACTGTGTGAGTCTAATGAATCCCTTTGTTTTATTGGTTGCGTGTTACACTTGAGTGTCACATTTGAGTTAAATAGTAAAGAACTAATTAATTTGCTCATTTGAAATATTGAATAATCATTTATTAAGTTTGGTGACTCTGACCTCCGTCTGTCAAACAGGCAGGTTAGCTCCTCTCCTCTCCCTCCCCTGACTTTTTTTCAGGTAAAATAAATACTTTTCTTCTTTTCTTACTTTCTGTTCAGACACAGGCAGAAGGAGGCAAATGGAGATGCAAAGATTGAGCTGAAGGAAACAAACTCTAAAGACTCAACAGCATCACAAGACAACTGATCAGCTGTGAACAACAGTGGAGACGAGAAATTCTTCCTGGTTTGTTAGTTCTCGCTGCAGTCGTGGATCGGTTTGAATGAATGTCATACAAATGTGTATGTTAGAATAGAAATGTGTTGTGTCACTACAGAGCCAGAATAGAGACTTGATTTAAAACCTTCGACTAGCTGGAGAGCATTTATACATTGAAAGAAGAGCAAAGAACGACACTGAAGACTTTTCCTGGTTCGCTTCAATAAGAGTTTGAGTGACAGATGCTTCATGTACATTCACCAAACACTTTCCAACAACGCCTTCTCAGATAGGTCTAATTAGAAAAAGTCTGAGGATCACCAAAGTTATTAGAATTCATTCTGAAGGAACGTCTGAACCACATTGAAGACATTACCATCCATAGAGCCACACTGCAAACACGGAGCTACATACATCAATACAAAAGTACACCTGGATATTATGAATTTAAAATTGCTGTCTGGCTGTAGATTGGCCGGTTGGTGATGAAGCCTTGATGTCTTTCAACTGTGTGGAGAGTCTTTCAATGCTGAAGGCAGTGCATCAGAAACCGATGGCCTCTCATCGCTCTCCATTCAGTTCCTGATGCAGTATCATCAACATCAGGGAACCTGTCCGTCACTCCCCAGCAGGAGGATACGCAGTCATACCTACCTGCACATGAACACATATTATAACTCACAGAGCAAGTTACACCTGACACGTTTACATAAACACTTCTAAGAGTAGTAACAAACCCTCAAATTAAAAACCGCTTAGCAAGGCAAATGTTTTTTTAATTTAAAATGTATAATAAGAAAGTGACTTAATATGTTAAATGACATTTCTAGAATAAAGAAAAATATATATATTTATTTCCATTACTAATACTTTTTCACTTCCCCTGTTTGACCCTAAAGCATTTAAATAAAGACAATAAAATATCAAGCAACAGCAAAAATATGACATCAAATTAAAAGGTAAATCATTATGACTTTCAGAGGCTGTTTACTGACATTCTAGTTATAACTGATGATTCTTTACTTTCAAATTTAGACACAGAATCTTTTTATTCCCACAGCGCCCCCTTGAGGCTGTCCCGGTCCTCTGGTGGGATGAGATGGTGCTGCGTTCAGGTGAATCTAAGTCGGCTCTGTGAGATGCTCAAAGCTCACAGTTGCCAGCTGAGATTAAACTGGATCACAGCTGTTTGTTATTTCCTCTGCAGACGCCTGGTTTCACCTTTTTAATATTGATTTTATCAGTTAATCACAAGTGATGAGACACGTATCAGTAGTTTGTGAATTTACCCCCATCGTGATAGTCAATCATTTTGGTTTTACCCTATAATAACATATCATTTATTTGTTGATTAGATTCCGTATTATTAATCTGAATCTGTAAATCACTAGTAATAAAATGTTGTTTGATCAGACGCTGTTATTGATCAGTGCAGAGCGACTGGATCATCTCTGCAGGTGATTGTGTGTAAATGTGTGCCTTCACAGTTGCCTGCAGAGATTAAAAAGTCACACGCTCTCACACACACACACACACACACACACCATGGAGACTGGGTGGGATCCACTCCTCAGCCTGCAGATGGCGCTGTACTGATGAACAGAAGGAAGTCTGGGGGAGAGAGGTTAAGAGATGAGGATCAAGTATCATCGTACTGCTCTGTGTTCTAAATACAAACAGAAGACAGTCTCAGGGATCTGTGGTAGATGCAATGGCGACCGCGGCCCATGTACATTTTTTTTCTACTTCATCATGTTCAATGTTTTTGTATATGTTGTGTTAATGTCCGCCTGATGTTCAATATTCTCTCTCTTTTAGCTCTGTTTTTGGTCTCCACCGACTCCTTTAGCTGCTAAGTGCTCTATATGTCCACCAACTGTTTGCTAACAAGTTCAACATATCAACTTAGAAGGTGATGATACGTCAGTGTGGAGTTTATTAACAACTTGTTTCTGCTGAAAACAGGTATCAGCTAAATAATCAGTTATTGCCGGTTTAGTGGAACAGTGTGAAGCACATCAGAGATCTATTAGCAGAAATAGAAGTATTATGTTTCATATTCCTAATTATGTTTTCATCATAATCACCTGAATCGTTGTGTTTTTGTAGAGTGAGGCCTACATATCTACATAGGGAGCGAGTCCTCTTTAGTCCGCCATGTTACTACGGTAGCCCTGAATGGACAAACTAAACACTGGCTCTAGGAGCCTTTTGCGTTTTAACGTTTCCTGAGGGCCACCTTCATTTGTTTGTGAAACTGCAGTAACGTGAGATGTGTTGTACAGCCAGCCGCCATCTGACTTCCGCTGCTCATGAAGTACTGTTATTGTGGTATGGACGTTAGTTTTGCACTTGGAAGGGAAGGAGTGAGCGGAGGGATGTTTAGTTAATCTCAAAAGACATTTATAATACTTTGTTTATAATTTTAGTGTATTTTAGAGTATTTAGCCTCATTCATGACCTTTCAGAGAGGTCAGTTGTAAGGAAAGCTGCGTTTTCAAATTGATCTGCATTAGTGTGAATGAAGCTCAGAAATGTGCATGACCTGACCACAGATGCCATGTTGGATTTGTTCCGGCCTGCGGGCTCTGAGGGCTCTAACGAGGCGAGACGTGGACGGACAAAGCATCAATTAGAGCAGCGGACAGTGGACACTGACCATGGACCCCCTCGACCGCTCTATTGTCCCAAAAACGGAAAACAGAAAAATAAAGACAAAGTGATTTGGTTCTGCTGAGGTGCACTCCAAAAGCCCTCGCAGCGTCAGAGAGTTTAAAAAAAAAAAAAAAGCGCGCTCGTTGTCGTCTTCAAAGCGTCGTCGACCTCGTCGTCCTCAGCCGGCAGATGTGTCTCTGCATCTCGACCCCCCCCCCCCCGCTGTGCTCCACATACATGTTTCATCGGGCTGTTTCTGGTCAAACAGCATAAACATCATGTAACATCGTTAATAATGTTTGAATTGTTAATGACATGTGAACAGAGCATGAAGCAATTAGTCTGCGCATTATAATATAACAGAGGCAAACGCAAGAAGCCAGCAGTATATGAACTCTGAAAGATAATAAGCAACAGTGTTTGTCTTTTGATGGTAGATTTGAAAGATCTTTCTAATATGTAGCCCACTTATTACGTGATTAAAGTATACGAGCAACAGGGATCAGATCTCTGGTGTTGGATCTATTCAGAATCAGAATCGGTTTATTCTGCCAAGTACGTTTGCACATATAAGGAATTTGGCTTAGCGATTGGTTCATAACAATAAACACACTGCAAAAGGATAAGACATGAACTAAAAAATAAAAATAGGAAAATTCACAATAGAATAAAGAAAAACAAAAAAAGAATAGGTTAAAATAAATAAAGTGTAATTGTTTTGGTCACTAAGTCTATATTCTACATGTAAAAGCTCTTGAGGAGATATTTTTAGTATAACTTTATGCAAATCACAAATATATTGTGGTGTAACAACCATGAACAGGAGTTCAGAATCTGACTGTTGTCTCTACCCGTCAACCAGAAATACTTGAAATTACTAATTTGTGCTCTTTAAATTGCACAGAAATATGGAACATGTTAAGCACATGTATTGACACCTCAATGTGCATGAGAAGGAAGAGACTTCCTCAGTTATCAACATCTAGTTCAAAGACACATCTAATGTTCATTCTCACGTCTTGTGAATTCTTTTTTTATTTTAACAGTTGAAAACATTTCTAAGTAAAAACAGAAGCAGACCCTCTGAACATGTGGTGCTGCATTTCAACACAAACACAGCGAACTGAACCACTATCGGCTCAGAAAACACAAAAAACAAAGTCGCTTACTGACATTCAGAGCTATATTAATAACACCATGTTTCAAAATAAAAGTTTGTCTTACCTTAGTGATAAACACATGCGGGCTGCCAGCCTGAGGCGAGCTGCAAGAGTCTGTACCGCAGCACCACACTGACCCCAACACACACACACACACACACACAACCCTCTCTGCCATCACCCCCCCAACACTTCACCCTGGACAGTCTGATCTCACTTGGATCAGGGTTGATGTTTCCCGGAGTTTTAAGATGTTTACTTCTATACTATAAATGATGATAAATCCTGAAGTTAATTCTCTTTGTTAATGTGCTGTGATTTATTTGAGGGGAGACACTACAGGGGAATGGGGTAAACATTTTTACTCAATATATCACTATGAAACGTCACAAGAATTATTATTTGTATTATAAGTTTTCTGATATTGTACGTTACATATGCAAATGAGGCATCATCTTATTAAATATGTGCTAATTTACAAAGCTTCCCAGAACAGAAATATGAACATTGGATAAAGCCAGGTTCAAAACTATTGTTTCATTTTATTGATATATTAGATTTTTTATCACTGAATAAATCAGAACAAATAAAACTGTTAACAGCCGTACCTTTTCTCCATGTTTGTAGGAATACAAGGTTCTATAAATCCAGCTATGAATGAACAAACCCATTTTAACCTTCAGAATACACATGAACATGTAAAGTGTGGTGTATGTATGTGTGCTGAAGCCCAGATATTGAATTACTGAGGTCATGAATACTTCCAGAGCACAACAGTGTTTAGTCACCGTATACTTTTCTGCGTATTTTAAAATTACATTTCTATAAACTTTAATTCCTCACATTATGGTATAAAATGTTTTTCAAGCTTTTTCTAGACAGTTAGGTGTTTAATTCTGGTGATGAATACTAAATCCCTTTTTTAAATATATATATATATATGTAAATGTTTAGTCCCTAATCTGTCAAATTTCATTACATTTTATCTAAAAAGAAATACCAGAATCACCCTTATTAAACCCCTTGAGGTGTGTAAAATGATTGTTATTGTAAGATATAATATACCATTCATGCCTTTAAACCATTTAACTCATTTTCTTTAGTTGCTATTAATGCTATTTAACGTGTGGTACAGTTTGCTATGAAAAACAGTAAAATATTACGACTGTTCTTCAGTTCAAACACATTTTCTGACTCAGCAGAAGGTTCATGGCTGCATGTGATAATGTAGAAACAGTGTTGTCTAGAAGGTGGATGACCGATTGTTGACCACTTTAGTCATTAATTAACTGCTTTCTTTTGAAAAAGCTTCGGCATGTGAGCGTAGCCTTGATGTCGTGTGTTTGTCTTATCGGGCAGCTGTCGCACTTCCCACCTTCAAATGTCTGGCGAGTTTTTTTCACATGCAGCACCTGACGTCTTCCCATCGTCAAAAACATAACGTGTCACTGCAACAGTTTATTAATACGTTCAGCCTGGGAATCATTCATAACAGATAATAATTGATTGTCATTAAAAAAACAACATTTATTTATTAAGTACTTCACTTTAGTTTATGAGGTTTAGTCCTGGAGTATGTTTCTGATTTGGTTTGTCTGTTTGTCAAACCTGCATTCTTTCTAATGACCAGCAGGGGGCAACTCCTCTGGTTGTATAGAAGTCTATGAGAAAATGACTCTACTTCTCTCTTGATTTATTCCCTCAGTAAACATTGTAAACATGAGTTTATGGTCTCAATATCTAGTTTCAAGTCTTCTTCAATACAGCATGATGTTCATTTAGTAAACGATGGTCCATTTAGAGTCAAATAGACCATAAAGCAGGGGATGCTTTAGGGCGGGGCTACCTTGTGATTGACAGGTCACTAAGCCGCCATTTTCCCATCTTGATCTTTTTGTCCTAAAACTTCAACCCTTTCCCACTGTGTTTTCAGTTAATAAAAGTTAATTGTAACCTTTTAGGTATTCAGCGTTCGGTTGTACTTAGCTCCACCCTCTCGTATCACTTCTGGTTTACAAAAAACCCCAAGATGGAGACGGCTAATGATATAACTTGGTTATTACCTAACTGCCTTTAGGACCTTTAAATTGCCTAAATCATTAATCTCCTTTTGTTCTTACATTACATTACAGTCATGTAGCAGACGCTTTTATCCAAAGCAACTTACAACTCAGATTCTATCACATTTCTACACTGTAGGCAGCAATCTTGGGGTTAAGTGTCTTGCTCAAGGACACATCGACATGCGACGTAAGCCGGGGTGCAATTTACTGCACAACTCTGCGTCATCTCGGCTTTGGAACTTGACTCTGATAGAAATCCAGTGAAGACTGCTGCTTAACGTTGCACAGGAACCCGTCTATAGAGCAGGTAGATTTTTTCTTGACGTATTATTTCTATATCCTCATTAAATTGTAGCTTTATTCCTGACATCTCAGAGAACACAGCTATCTGGAAAATGTTTTCAAGGTGCAGAATGTTTTAAACATGAGCAGAAATCTTGCCTTAATGCATTATATAATTTTGTTTTTAATCTTGTGTTTTTCTTTACATTCATAAAGATATTTCCACCATAAATTGGTGCATAAAAATTCACCAGAATGCAGAAAAAAAGATATCAATCAACATATCAATCGAGCGTTTCACTTGGCTTTGCATAACTCTTCTGAAGAGACCCAACCCTCCCAGTCTGCAACTCCTATTTATGTGCGGGTGTTGAATTCATTTCTATTTATTCTACAGTTGCAGGATTTATACACAGCATATGTGTGCGTGTCTTTTATCGTGGTGTTTTTTTATTCACATTTGAGTCACAAGTGAGTAGTTAAAGTCACATTAGATTTAGAGTTATCGCGTCCTGTGTTATTCCTTCCACACTTGGCCTTTGTCAAAACAGCAGCTGAACCATTAGCAGAAATACCAACAAACAGGCAGAAACTGTTTCAGAACTGGCTCTTAGGTTAACAATATTCTCTGCTCTCCACAGGGGGCCACAATGACAAAACAGACCCTCTTGAATACTCTGGACGAACCTCGGAGAAGATCACTTTAAGCGTTTCAAGAGGTCCCTGGAAGATGAACGCCTTAAAGGTCTCCTCAACCATCCCAAAGAAAGAGCTGGAGAATGCAAAGAGGTGGGACACCGTTGATCCAGACCTACACCTACACACTTCCTGGAGCTGTGTAGGTGACCGATCAGGTTTTAGAAAAAGATCAACAGGAATAATCTACTGCCGAGTTTGTCAGACAGCAGCTCAGGGACACAAGGTCAGTCACAGGAATCATGGAAAACTGCATTTGTAAGACATCGACAATTCTCATAAAGAGCAGCAATGCTCTACTCCTGGTAGACATAGAGTAGGGTACTAAAATAATCCTTTCACATGCTGCAATCTATAATGTTTTTAGCTAGCTACACATATTTTGTTAGCGTTTCAGCCCCTGCTTGCATGTTGTGGTGCCATTTTTTTTTTCCTCCAGTGGACGTGTTTTCTTTCACATTATGACGCGTTGCGCTCTGTCTCTACAGGAAAACATCACGCTAAAAGATACAGGAATAATGGGATTGATTGGAAAATAATCCAGATTATATCTGAGTTAACTGCTGTTTTGTTGTAGTTTACATTCAGTTTCTCTAAAACATTGGAGTCAATGTTTGTTTTGTGTCAAGTTTCTGATCCTTTTGTGACAACACTGTTAAAAATTCTGATGACTCAACTGCAAAAGTAAAATTAGCATGATGATTTCAGCAAAGTAGCCCCTAACTTGACATTTTGATTTATTGATTGCTGTCTGGATTTAAAGAGAATTTCACTTACTTACTTTTATTCTTGCATTTCCATTCTGCACTGTAGTGTTTTATTTTGAAAGGAACCTGGTATCAAGTGACAACCATAACTTGACAGAAACACAAACAGTAAAAACATCAAGGTTATTAAGTAAAAAGTGTAAAAAGAGATAAAACTGCCAACTCTCACTCATTGACCATACTTTCTTTTTAATGCTGTAAAAATGTGAGGTAAATAACAGAATATTGAAATACTACAGTGACAACAAATTGAGTCATTCCACTCTGAAACACAGACAACGTGTAACAACAACATCCTCTTTTTTTACGATAGCATCATTGCTGATTGCGATTAGAACTGTTTCAGACAGCAAAAACAGCTCTCAGTCATGTGACGACCATGTTTTTCATCACCCTATGAATTAGTATTTTCCTCTAATTGGTCTTTTCTCAATTTGTATGTACTTTGCAGGATCCTATGACACTTAATAAACACAAAATAAAATCGGACAAATTGATTCTCTTAAGCCTCTTAAGTTCTTTGTTTTCATGTTCCTCCCCTCTCTACACTGTCACATACAATGGGCCTAATGCTAAAACATTTATATAAACATTTATATTCTTATCCTAAATCTCACTTTTACACTCGCCACTAATTCTCTTGAATCTCGTGTTCATGCATGAGGCCCATTGTGTGTCATCTTGTTCCAACTCTTCATTGAAGCTCTACAGCACACGTGTCAAACTCAAGGCCCGCGGGCCGAATCCGGCCCACCACGTCATTTTATGTGGCCCGCGAATCCACCAGCAAAAAAAAAAAAAGTTAGACTTGAAAATAAAAATGTCCCCATGGTCGAAATTATGAGATACAAAGTTGAAATTATGAGACAGCATGTTGTCTGTGTACCGACATTAAAACTATCACAACAGGTGGACAGGAGAGGGAACAGCCCGTAAAGAGGTTTTCCAACAAGTGATTGAGTTGAAAAAGATCGACAAATAATCCCAAAATGTCCACGAAGAGAAAAATTTATGGAGAGGGAAGAAAATGTAATTTAAGATGGGAAAGCGAATACATGTCTGTGCTTCAGGGAGAAAAACGGGTCTGTCTTCTGTGTTATGATGCGTGTAGGTGATGAAGGATACAATTCACGTCAGCATTTTGACACCAAACACGGAGCTAAATTTAGCCTCCAAGAAAAACATAAAATTGTCCAAGAATTAAAAGGCAGACTGCAATCACAGCAGAATATATTTACAAAAGCTACAGCCCAGTGCACGCTAAAGGTATGTGAGTAGGTGAGCTCCGATCAGATACAGACTTTTACAAATATCAGTTTGTGAAGAAACACCATCGCAGACCGAGTTCAGGAACTAGCGGCAATCTAACAACACAGCTAGCTGAGAGACGAGATACATCATCTATCAGTGTTTGTAAGAGGCTCAAGGCAGACCTGACTCTCAGTGAGGAGCTCTTGGATGTAGCTGCCATGCACGGGACGACGGCAGGGCGGGACATTAGTGATGCAGAGAGGTGACAAAAATAGCTTTGAACAAAGTTAATGTAATAACTTGTGTTTGACATTTGTCTTTGTTATTTTCTTTAAAAGTTTGATCTTTGATGGAGTAATGTGGGTTTCTTAACCCTAAATTAAAATGATTTATGTTATAATAACAGAAATGTGCTTAAATATCATTTTTCATTTATATAACTGCATGTACAATATTTTTACACTTGAATAAACAATAATCAAAAGCAGAGACAGTTATTTAACAATATGTTAGGAGTAGTTACAGTTGTACAGTCTTACAGTTACAACCGGCCCTTTGAGGGAAACCATGATGCTGATGTGGCCGGGAGTGAAAATGAGTTTGACACCCCTGCTCTACAGTGAATACTGAGTGAAACATTCAATCCCAGGATTTAACATTCCCATCAAACATTAATATTCTAAATGTCTTGTGCTATAGACAAATTTCACCAACATTCAACCTGAAATATTTTGGTGTGTTTGGAAAGTTTGGGATCTCCACTATTTAGAAAAAGGTTGTGTAGGATTTAGCTGTAAAGTTTGGCTTTGCATCATAGATTTGTAAAGATGGAGTCGGCAGAGGGTTCACCATAGTTAAGCACGTTGATGGCAGCTTTTCTGAATTCCCCCCCCCCCCCCCAAAAACAACCAATTACCCTGGTATCTATCTGAGGCTGCTGACGTGACTTAGAATCAGCTGCAGCAGCTCATATCACGGAACTCACATGAAAAAGAGGAAACTGAATGAGCTTGGGGACGAATGTGACTTCGTCATCACATCCTGACTGTATTTCCTCGTTTTTCATTTCTTGTAAACTTTCAGCAGCCATACTCCAGAGCGATCGGACTTTCTACGTACATAATATGAAACCTTAAGGTAAGAAAGTTGTGTTTTCCTTTTTATGCATTAGCTCATTATGTAGATAACTTCGAGGATACATTTGTAATGTGATGTGAAGCTTACGGTCTCTTTTAACTCCTTTCACTTGACTGTAAACTGGTCTCTGTCTCTACACTGAAGCCATCAAGATGCTTCCCGTTTATTTAGTGTTGGAGAGTAATAGGATTGTTGCAGCTGCTCCAGTATAGAAGGACAAATGTTTTTAGCAGTCTGTCGATCCAGCGCTTTGGTCCAAACTGAAATATCTCATGAACTAGTGGATGGATTGTCATATCAGGATGAATCTTAATGACTTTGATGATTCTCTGACTTTCCCTCTATTGTCATCATGAAGTGGACATTTGTGTTGTCCTCGGGCAAACATTGGACGCTTTCACGTGTTAACAAGTAAGAACTACTGTGATATTCATATTAAGATGTGTCAACCTTAAAGTAATAATCTCTATGATTTTCATTTAAATGAATGTATGTCAAGTCCCTATCTCACGCCGAAAGGTATAACACAATGCGGATTTAGCCTGTCTGCGGCGACATTCACGATAATTCCAAACACTGTTTGGATCTCTCCGAAGTGAGATCCAAAAATGCAATTACTGTTTATCGCCATTGGTGCTGCCAAAGAGAACGAGATTAGAACTTTAAATTAAAGGTTTCATGATGATGTTGTTTCTGGTTCAGTAATTGGTGTCATGCTGCTAGAATGGCTAAAAGCAACAGCACAGTCTTTAGTTCAAGCACTGAGCTTGAACAACAGGAAATGTGACAGACTCCAGCTCCTCATATGTGTGGGTTTCATTGATCAACATCCTGCTTTAATATTTACAGTTTCCATTTAGTGGCACTTTAACTCAAAGATGTCTCTAATTTCAAGAAGTGTAAGCAGTGTGCCACTTCAAAATTAAATTGAGTCGAGCCCACAGAGCAGCAGCAGGAGCTCTAACTGACCAGACTGGCTCCTGCGTCGACCAATCAGAACTCCTCCTGCTATAGGGCGACTGTGGCTAAGGCTACATCCATACTACTCCGTTTTCAAACAAAAACAATCTCCGTCCACACGGCGTTTCAGCGCCGTTTTCAAAATGATCTCCGTCCATACTAACACGCCTGAAAACCAATATCACGTGACTCTTCACGTACACTGGGCATGCGTGTGGGTGTCGATGTAAACAGGAAGTACATTGGTTGCTTAGTTTAAAAAAATACGACAGAGTAATAAAGTAGTCTTTAATAATGAAAGGTTGTGTTTGATACTTAAGATCTTCTCTAAAATCTTCCTCTATGAACTAAAACAGACACAGTTCGTGGAAAGTTTTAGAAGTTTTATTTTTCAGACTTAGTTACAGCGCTGCAGGTCTTTCTCTATCTTTCTCTCTCTCTCTCACATATCGAATTTACTTTAAAATCAACACTTACACGTACCAGTTTGCTAGATTATGGGTCCATAAATGTGGTCAACACACGTCTCTCACTCGTTTCCTCGGTGTTGTTGTCTGTTCTCACTCGTAGCTTTGCTGGTGGCTTAACTATCTGTCCTACTGAATAGCATTTACTGCTAACCGTGACTTCAGCTCAAATAACAGCTGCTTCCTCCGTGATAATGCAGACTTTAACAGCACAACAGCTGCTAGTAAAGACAACAAGGTCAGCATTGCCTGTAATCAGTTTTCCATGTTAAATTAACCTGGTAGGTAGTCGATCGGTATTCAATGTTGTCGTTTGTGAGCTTCTGGGTAAGGGTCACGTGATAGACATGTAACGAATCAGGGAAGGAGACGTCATGACTGCTAAGAACCAATCAAGTAGCGAACACGGGTGTGGGCGCCATCGTTTCTAATCTTATCCGTTTCTGACCGTCCACACGAAAACGCAACCCCGGAGTTTTCAAACTTATCCGACCTCGGGAGCATTTTCAAACATATCCGTTTACGGTGCTCTAAAACTTCGGCATAGTGTGGACACTCAGTGTAAACGTACCAAAACATATGCGTTTTCAAATGGAAACGGAGTAATGTGGACATAGCCTAAGTGGAGAGCAGGGCCGTCCTTCAATCAGAGGATCGGTGGTTTGATCCCCAGCTCTGCTAGTCGCATGTCAATGTGTCCTTGAGCAAGACACTTTACCCCAAAATTGCTCCCGTAGCTGTGCCTACGGTGTAGAAATGTGATAGAATCTGAATTGTAAGTCGCTTTGGATAAAAGCGTCTGCTAAATCACTGTAATGTAATGCTCTGACACTTTTGTTTTCCAGTTTTCCTAGAGACTGACGAAACTGCTTGATTTTAGCAGGAAGCCACAATGACGTCAGAGGACCTTTTGAACACTCTGGAGGAGTTAAGAGACAGTGAATTTAAGGACTTTAACTGGTATCTGCAGCAGCCCGACATCCTGGAAGGCTGCCAAAGTGTCAAAGTGTCCAAGCTGGAGAAGGCAGAAAGACGGGACACAGTGGATCTGATGGTGAACACCTTTAAAGTTAATGGAGCTCTGAAGGTTACCAAGAAGGTTTTAGAGAAGATAAACAGGAATGATCTGGTGCAGAGTCTGTCAGACACCAAGTCAGGACAAGAAGGTCAGTCACACTTTGGTCTTTTTGTTTCTTCTAGCAAAAAGAGTGGATTGAAGTGGGCAACACAATACTTGTATAGGAACTGGCTCTCTGTACAGAAGCTCATTGTAATCACCAAAGAAGATAATTAGAAGCCTGATCTTGTACAAATCACTCTCCAACAAATCCAAGAAACAATTACGCTCAGTACATTTTTAGAACAATAAAAAAAAAAAAAATGATGACCAAAAATGAAAACCAATTAATAAGCACTGATTCACTTGATGATAAATAGTAAGAAATAAGTGAAATTGATAACATAACACATAAGCTCTCTCACACAGTGTCAGTGGATGTCGATGATGTTGGAGAGACTTCAGCGAACAAAGAAACTTCCTCCTCTCCGATTGAAGGTAAAGCTGCTGGTATGTTTTTTCTGGTATGTACGGAAGAGACAAAGTGTAAACGTAAAAAATGAATTGTAAGTAAGTTTTACTTTCTGTGACATTGCATTGCAATCTGTAATGAGAAGTTATACCTAAACAAAAGTGGGATTGTTGTGATGGATTGTGATGCAGGAGGCTGTTCAATCTTTCTTTGTGGAGTTTCAGTCAGAACTCCAGAACTTCACTACTTGAACAGCTAGGCTCATCCAATCATAAGAGACAAATGAAGATTTTAGAAATGATTTAAATCAACCTATACATTTTAATCACTTTTTGGAGGCGCATGCAGCTGTCACAGCCAAAAATAATAACTTTTTTGCCTTTATTACGGAAGCATTTATTGCCTATAATAGAAATACACCTGGAAAAGAAAGTACAGGGATTGGATTGAGTGCAGCGGACCTTGAGACGATTACTGCTCACAACATCTTCCAACCACCCAGCCAGCCCAGCCAAACCAAACAGCAACAATTGTGGTGTGACCGCCCCAGGAATAGAGGGAAGAGAGCCTGCTTGTGGCTAATGTCTGGTCACAAGAAAACAAAATGGATGAAGTACGCCTCTTACGCTAACCCAGCAACGGAAAATCAGAGACTGTTGTGTCCACATTCTTCCAGAGACCAGGCTTCATCATAACATCCCGGATCAAGCTATTGCACTTGATAAGTGGACCATGTTCCAATCAGATCACATTTCCCTGCTTCTGCTGCCTACAAATGTAATATACAGTCACATCAGAAAATATGACTATGATGTGGTGATCCCAAAGAAAACAAAACCATTACCCAACAAGAAAGCCTGGATGAATGGAGAGATGAAGGCCGTATCCAGAGACAAAAAAGGTAACAAGGAAGCATACAACACCGCCATAGCACCTCCACACCAACAACACCAAAGACATGGCAGACAATCCAGAATATCAAAGGCTACAAAAATAGGTGCACCCCCATGACATGTGAGGCCATGTTGCCAGATGAGCCGGCCACTTTTTCTGACAGCCACCATTGTCCCTGTACCTAAAAAGTCTGCAATGTCCAGGCTAAATGACTTCCGCCCTGTGACACTCATCCCCATTCTGATGAAGTGCTTTGAGGAACTGGTTCTCCAGGACATCAAAAACAACCTCCCAGCCCGCCTGGACCCTCACCAGTTTGCATACAGAGCCAACAGATCCACAGAGGATGCTGTCTCCACTGCTCTCCACTCAGCCATCACTCATCTTGAAAATGAAACCACCGACAACTGAATGTTTGTTGAATTCAGCTCAGCATTTAACACAATCTTAAACTTAGCAGTCTGCGCTTGGGTAGCTCACCCTCCAACTGGTTATTGGACTTCTTCACAAACACACCCCAGGTGTTTCAAATTGGAAACCACACCTCCTCCACTCTAGTGTTGGACACCGGAGCACCCCAGGGCTGTGTGCTCAGCCCCCTCCTGTTCACACTGCACACCCTCAACTGCAACCCAAGACATGAAGAGAAGTTCTTGTTTACTTTTGCAGACTGGAAACATTACAAATTGGCATGTTTTGTGCATGGCCCAAGACAGGAGGGTTCTTCAGCGAGTGATTAAAACCGCCCAGAACATCGTTGGTAGCAATCTACAGAGTATTAGCGAGAATGGTGAGAAGAGGTGCCTGCAAAAGACAATACCCATCCCAGCCACAGCCTGTTCACCCAGCTGTCTGGCAAGTGATACAGAAGTATCAGCTGCCGTAAACCAGACTTCAGAGCATCTTCTTTACTATGACATCCCCTGTACTGCCATAAAAAAATATTTTGTTTTTATTTACTTGTGTAGCATAAAGATACTACAACTTGCATTTCCTTGTGCAACCCTGTGTTGTAGGACAAAAAAATAAACCTTGAACCTTGAGAGGAAGAATAGTGAAACTGATGCTTCAGGACTTTTGTTTGTGACATTTTATCCAGTAGCTGGCAGCAACACCAGCAGCTGCTCAGTGGTCACCAGTCAAGGGTTGTGGTTGCAGTGGACATCTCCTCGTCATAACGGTTTAAATGTTGCAAAGCTGGGATGTTGAGAGAATGATGTGTCTAAATCAAAGAGTTAAGATAACTTGGTGTTTCACAATTACTATCTCTAAATACTGTAATACTGTCCACAGATAACTTGCTCCACCTTTAACTAAAAACTTTGTTTGACTGCCCTTCAGCTTCTCTTCAGAAACAAACCGTCAACAAAGCAAAAGACATGTGTTTACCTAGCTCATGCGGAAAGGGGCATCTGTGAACATGCAGCCTAATGTTTTTGTTCTATTTATTTCACACAGATGAGATTGTTCCAGTACCAGAGCCACGACACATCTCGTATTACCAACACTTGCTTCAATCACACCTCCAGGATAAGTTCATGTGTGCACAAGAGGGGTGGGCACAGAAGAAGGATGAACAACGTCTTGATGATATCTACACAGAGCTGTACATCACAGCGGGGGCTGACGTACACATCAACAAACAGCATGAGATCAGGCATATTGAGGCAGTGGTGGTGAAGCCAGCAGGAACAGAGAAATCAATTAAATCTTGTGACATGTTCAAACACCCCTCTGGAAGATATAAACCCGTAAGAACAGTGTTGACAAATGGAATTGCAGGAATTGGCAAAACTTTTCTTGTGCGCAAGTTTGTGTTGGACTGGGCTGAAGGAAGAGCCAATCAAGATGTGCATCTCATTTTCCTCTTGACCTTCCGCCAGCTGAATTTATGGATGGGAGAAAAGTTTTGTTTGGCAGAGCTCATTCATGAATGTATCACAGAGACCAGAGACATCAAGGATAAAGCTCTTAATCACATCTTTACAACTCTGCAGTCATCAGGAAACACCAACTATGACAAGAGCAAATTCAAACTTCTGTTTGTTTTGGATGGACTTGATGAGAGCCGCCTTCATCTGGCCTGCTCTACCAGTGGAAATCAGACAGTTAACATTGATGTGACAGCGTCAACCTCAGTGGATGTGCTGCTGACGAACCTGATCAACAAGACACTGCTTCCCTCTGCTCGCCTCTGGATAACCACACGACCTGCCGCAGCCAATCAGATCCATTCTGATTTTGTTGACATGATGACAGAGGTCAGAGGGTTCACTGACCTACAGAAGAATGAGTACTTCGAGAAGAGATTCAGAGATTCGGAGCAGTCCCGCAGAATCATCTCCCACATCAAGACATCACGAAGCCTCCACATCATGTGCCACATCCCAGTCTTTTGCTGGATCACTGCTACAGTTCTGGAGAATGTGATGGAAACCAGAAAAGGAAGAGAGCTGCCCAAGACACTGACTGAGATGTATGCAGAATTCCTTGTGTTTCAGATGTATCAGACAAACGAGAAGTATGGCCAAAAAAAGTGCATTAAGTACATTGAGTCATTAGCAAAACTGGCTTTCCACCAACTGGAAGAGGGCAACCTGATCTTCTACGAGAAAGATCTCAAAGAGAGTGGCATTGATGTCCGTAGAGCCTCGGTGTGCTCAGGAGTGTTCACAGAGATCTTCAAAGAGGAACTTGGTAAGAAGAATGTTGAAGACAAGATGTTCAGCTTTGTCCATCTGAGTGTTCAGGAGTTTTTGGCAGCTTTTCACGTAGAGAGGGCAGTCATTAACAAACACAAGAATGTGATGTGTGAACCAGGACAGACACATGGTGAACAAATACGAATGGTTTTCAGTAAAACATCTATGGCTGAGGTGCAAAGGTTTGCTATTGACAAGGCCTTGAAGAGTCCAAATGGACACCTGGACCTGTTCCTCCGATTCCTCCTGGGTCTTTCTCTGCAGACCGGTCCGACTGTTCTACAAGGCCTATTGAAAAATAAAAAAAGTTTAGAGACCAATCAGGAAACAGTCGAGTACATCAAGAAGAAGATCAGTGAGAATCTGTCTCCAGAGAGAAGCATCAATCTGTTCCACTGTCTGAATGAACTGAATGATCGTTCTCTAGTGGCGGAGATCCAACAGTCCCTGAGATCAGGAAGTCTCTCCACGGATGAACTGTCTCCTGGTCAGTGGTCAGCTCTGGTCTTCATCTTACTGTCATCAGAAAACGATCTGGCTGTGTTTGACCTGAAGAAATATTCTGCTTCAGAAGAGGCTTTTCTGTGGCTGTTGCCAGTGGTCAAAGCATCCAACAAAGCTCTGTAAGTGCACAGATAAGTGCAGATACTTTGTCACATGTGTCGGATTGTTCTCAATAAAATTAAGTCTATATAAACTGCAATGTTTAGACAACAATTTAATTAGTTGATCAATTGAAGTCTGTCAAATTGTTTCTTGAGATGAATGAATAAATATTTACAGTCTAGTTCATTCAAGGCTAAAATGTACAATTCTCACATAATAGAGACAGTGTCAGTGTTTTTTCTTCATTTCTAACTCTTCTTCAGGCTGAGTGGCTGTAATCTGTCAGAGAGAAGCTGTGAAGCTCTGTCCTCACTTCTCAGCTCCCAGTCCTCGAGTCTGAGAGAGTTGGACCTGAGTAACAACAACCTGAAGGATTCAGGAGTGAAGCTGCTCACTGCTGGACTAGAGAGTCCACACTGTACCATGGAGATACTCAGGTCAGATCACGCTGTGATGCATTTGTGTAACGCTGTGTTGTAAATTGCAGAAATCCTCACCAGAGAAATTCTATCATGAATTACATTCATGACAGTTTGCCCATTGGTGAAACAATTGCTTGCTTGTAACTAAGAGATAAATATTGCTTTGGTTTTTTACTGTTTTTTCGATGAAAATATGTCTGCACTTTACATGACAAGAACAATCCAAAAATGTACTTGAAAATACATTTAACATGTTGGATGTTAAAGCAAAACATAAATATTAGTGCTGGGCAACTTAACGCGTTATTATCGCGTTAACGCATTAATTAATTAACGCCAACAATTGTTTTATCGGGCATTAACGCAGTTTAAAAAAAAATGCAATACACACCGTTGATGCCAGCAAATCACCCAAACAAACGGTGGAGGGAGGCTTCGGAAGACTACGTTAGATGCAGTGTGTGGGAGAAGTATAGATAAACAAAAGCAAGACAAGCTACCAAATGTCACAGCGAAGATAGCTACAAACTGCAGGCCGATTAGTATTGTGGAAGATGTCGGTCTGAGGAACGTTCTTAGGATCGCAACGAATGACGGCACGTATGAGCCTCAAGACGCAGCATCACAAGAAGAATACACGAGTTGTATGAAAAGGAGAGGACTACAAAAGCGACGGCGTTACAATGTGCACCAGCTGTTGTTCTCACTGGAGACTACTGGACATCGCTGGGTAACCATCATCACCTCGTAGTTACAGTGCATTATGTTGATGAACAGTGGGAGCTGCATTCACATGCTCTGACTGTCATGAAAACAGAAGACAATCATCGCAGAAAATCATGCGATTAATCACAATTAAAAATTGGAATCGTTGCCCAGCACTAATAAATATATTTGTGTACTTATTTATATTTCAGATTAAGTCAATCCAAGTTCACAGAGAATTGCTGCCAGGAGCTCTCATCAGTTCTCAGCTCCCAGTCCTCCCTTCTGAGAGAGTTGGACCTGAGTGACAACTACCTACAGGATTCAGGAGTGGAGTTGCTCTCTGCTGCACTGAAGAGCCGTCACTGTACACTGAAGACTCTCAGGTCAGATCATACTGCGGCGTTTTTGTGTAGCAACTTGTTTTCCCAGTTTACCGGCTTTCAAAATTAAGCAGTAGGAAACATTTAGAATGTCAGTTTGTGATGGAATTTATGACCAACTCAAATTTTTTTGTTTTAGCATAAGCATATGCTCGCTAGTTATAGTTGATAAATCTGCAAACAAGAGTCACTCTCTGCAGCCTACAAAAAACCCACTTGGCAGCTAGAGGTTCACAGAGATGAGGCCAGTACTTCTCAGCTCCCATTCCTTTATTCTGTGTGTCCTGGACCTAGAAGCAAGATCCTCCATTACCATTTAGTAACTCAACAGGGGAAATTCTAAAATTGAGAAGCTTTTTATTTTTTTTACATTGTAGACAATAGAAACAGTGTCAGTGTTTGTCTTCATCACTAACTCTTCTTCAGGCTGAGTGGCTGTAATCTGTCAGAGAGAAGCTGTGAAGCTCTGTCCTCAGTTCTCAGCTCCCAGTCCTCGAGTCTGAGAGAGTTGGACCTGAGTAACAACTACCTACAGGATTCAGGAGTGGAGTTGCTCTCTGCTGCACTGAAGAGCCGTCACTGTACACTGAAGACTCTCAGGTCAGATCATACTGTGGCGCTTTTGTGTAGCAACTTGTTTTTCCAGTTTACCGGCTTTCAAAATTAAACAGCAGGAAGCATTTAGAATGTCAGTTTGTGATGAAATTTACAACCAACTCAAATTTTTTTTATTTTAGCATAAGCATATGCTCGCTAGTTATAGCTGATAAAATATGCAAACAAGAGTCACTCTCTGCAACCTATGAAAAAAACACTTGGTAGTTAGAAGTTCACAGAGAGATGAGGCCAGTACTTCAAATCTGTTCTCAGCTCCCATTCCTTTATTCTGTGTGTCCTGGACCTAGAAGCAAGATCCTCCATTACTAGTAACTCATCAACAGGGGAAATTCTAAGCTTTTGATTTTTTTTTACATTATAGACAACAGAAACAGTGTCAGTGTTTGTCTTCATCACAAACTCTTCTTCAGGCTGATTGGCTGTAATCTGTCAGAGAGAAGCTGTGAAGCTCTGTCCTCGGTTCTCAGCTCCCAGTCCTCAAGTCTGAGAGAGTTGGACCTGAGTAACAACAACCTGAAGGATTCAGGAGTGATACTGCTCACTGCTGGACTAGAGAGTCCACACTGTACCTTGGAGACACTCAGGTCAGATGTTACTCTGATGCTTTTGTGTAACACTGTATTTTGCCGTTCTTTGGTCTAGTTTTGTGTTGCATGGCTGTACTGTCATACAGTACTGATACACTAAATTAGGATATATGATCTACCTATTTAGGTTGAGTCAAACCAGGCTTACAAAGACCTGCTCTCAGGAGTTCTCACCAGTCCTCGGCTCCCAGTCCTCTTGTCTGAGAGAGCTGGACCTGAGTAACAACGACTTGGAGGATTCAGGAGCGGAGCTGCTTTCGTCTGGACTGGAGAAAACACACTGTACACTGGAGACTCTCGGGTCAGTAACCATCTTTAGTTTAACAGATGACCATTTAAATGGTACTGGACATACAAGTTGATGTCAATGATGAAGTCCAACAATTGCAGGATTCTATTGTGTAGAGTATGCTCAGAAACACTGCAGTAACAAGTCTTTGCAGGACAATTTCTAGACTTTAGAAAATGTACATACTTATATTCTTAAATTCTGCAGCAAATTCATTCAGCAAATCATCATGTTAACTGATTCTGTTTATGACGGGTTCTGAATGACATTCACACATGGTGGGGAAGTCTAACACTGAGCTCATTCTAATCAGTAAATGCACACCTACAAGAAGGCAACTCATTGATACACAAAAATATATAATGTGTGTGTCTCTCTCTGTGTGTGCGCGTGTGGTTGTGTGTGTCTCCAGGCTGTCAGGCTGTCTGATCACAGAGGAAGGCTGTACCTCTCTGGCCTCAGCACTGAGGTCCAACCCCTCCCATCTGAAAGTGCTGGACCTGAGCTACAACCACCCAGGAGACTCAGGAGTGAAGCTGCTGTCTTCTGGTCTGAAACTGGACACTCTCAGGTATGAACAGACAACAAGAGCTCACACATTGTTTCTCTGTCACACTGACAAGCTCAGGACTGTTGGTTCACAGTTGTTACCAACAGCTCTGCTGACAACAGTGAAGACAGTAACTGATGTGCTGAGAGTTTCTGTTCCCACTGAGACTGACCTCCTAACATGGTCTAATGCCACATCAGGATTCAGTAGTGATTATACAACAACTATGACTCTCAGGATTCCTGTTGTGACTGTGAGTATTATGCTAAAAGTGATATCATTAGAAAAATACATATCGATCATATTCTTCTTCTTCTTATCAGTCTTATAGCTTTTTTCAGGACTTTGTTCAGACTTCAGCAGCAGCATTCTGAATGAGCTGAGATTTTTTAAAGAGACTCAGGCCTGTCCTAAATCTGAGTGCTTTGTTTCTTCCTCCAGGATGGATCACGGTGGAGAGCAGTGGCTGCGACCTGGTCTGAGGAAGTGTAAGTGTGTGTTCACTTTGATTCATGAAAACAAGACAGCACATGTTAGTTTAAATCAAACGTTTGTGTATCTGTATTCAATTCTCAGTTTGTAAGAAGATCCAAAAAGATGAGTCATTGTGAAGATTTGATCTCAGTCAGTATGTTAATGAAGCCACAAATAAACCCATCAGGTGTGTTAGATGATAAACTGCTGCTGTATCGTGTCTTGTTCTCTCCATCAGATGCCTGTGAACTCACACTGGACACAAACACATTAAACAGAAACCTCAAACTGTCTGACAACAACAGGAAGGTGACTGCAGTGATGGAGGAGCAGCCGTATCCTGATCATCTAGAGAGGAGTAACTACTGGTATCAGGTTATGTGTACAAATGGTCTGACTGGTCGCTGTTACTGGGAGGTCGAGTGGAGTAGAAGGGTTTATGTATCAGTGACTTACAGAAGCAGTAGACACAGCAGGTTTGGAGAGAACAATCAGTCCTGGAGTCTGTTGTGTTCGGATGTTGAAGGTTATTGTGTCTTGCACAACAAGGGAAGTACACGACTCCCCTCCTCCCTCTCCTCCTCCTCCTCCTCCTCCTCTGTCTCTCACAGAGTAGGAGTGTATGTGGACTGGCCTGCTGGCACTCTGTCCTTCTACAGAGTCTCCTCCGACACACTGATCCACCTCCACACCTTCAACACCACCTTCACTCAACCTCTTTTCCCTGGGTTTGGGTTTGGATTATATTCATATAGTCCCTCAGTGTCGCTGTGTTCCCTGTAAGAGGGGGAGTCTCCTCCTGTGTAGTGAAACACTCACATTGCTGACACACACACACACACACACACACACATACACACTTTCGGGAAGTCATGTTTACTCAAAATTACAAGAAAATATCTGTCTCTTTTTACTCTGCAGCAAATGGACTGCATGTCTGTGATTCTTCAGTACCTTAAAAAAAAATCTTTACCTGATTCATGGTATAACAACATTCTTTCACACAAATAAGTAAATTATATATTTCCAATAAAGGTTCCACATGATAAATAATAAATATGATTTTTCTTTCAAACAAATGTACCAATCATCTTACATTGTAAAATATGAATCCACAGTTTTGATTAGAAAACATCCCTGTGATATATTTCAAAAGACCGAATCAAGTTATTGTTGTTAATCTGTCGTTGTTGTTAAAGGTGGAAACGTCTTTCAATTAAATTTTTACACAGTAAATATATTCATATAAATGGGTAGAGGTGGGTGTCAGTGTTACAGTTATATAAGAACCATGTCGATGAGCCTTAATACTTTCACTCCAGTTGTTTTTTATTTACATTTGTATTGAATAAATTCAGAGTAAGTACCACACTTCCTATGATGCTTTTGAGTGACGCAAACAGGATTCAGACCAGACTGAGTCTACAATAAAACATCCCCTCCAGACACACATTCATTTTTATTATATGTTTTGTATATTTGTACCAATACAAGGTGGCAGGTACCTAGCATCAGTTCTGTTCTAAATGTATTGGAGTAAAAAGTACAATATTTCCTCTGAGATGAAGTGGAGTAGAAGTATAAAGTTACATTATATTCAACACTAAACCGTGATTGAACCTTTGAGCAATATATAATATAATGACAATTCTCAAGGCAAAATTCTCCAAAAACGTTGCTGTGGCAGAAAATTTGAGGATGGGGCGTAAATGTTAAATCTATTGATTATTCTAGCCAAATTGTAAGTACATAAGTGTAAGTTTACAAGTCAAAGATCTATTTTTTTGTGTTTTATACAAAGAGTTTGAACTGTATTTATAAACTATTAAATACTGTAACAACAAAAAAGGAAGCGTAATGGCATGCATTGCCTGTGATGTATGTAATTACACGATGAGAGTTTGTGCCTTAGTGTCCCCCTTTTTATCTATATATTATTCATTTACGTTTTTCTATTTTTATTTTTTATGCATTTGTTTCTGTTTTTGTTTTTGTAATCCTCTGCGGTTTCCCCTGGCATGTTAGTTTGAATGTGTGCATTTTTCTGTTTCTTATTGACAATTTGTGAAATTGTACAAAGCTTAAAACGTCACGTGACCCCTATGGACGCCTACGCTGATGCCTGACTGTAAAACGTCATAAAATCACCAACATGTTTAACGCTTTGTTCGAATTGATATTTGATCAAGTGTCCCGTGTATAATAAATAATATATATAATAATAAACATGCTTCGTAATTTATAACATAGTTTGAGAACAGTTAAGTTAACCCTCACTGAACGCCGCTCATCAAATTGTTCAGGCAGCTAGTCGGCCGCCTTTATCTCTACATCATGCTCTGAACAGGGGAAACAGCTGATCTTTGAAGGTGAGAGCGACTCAATTATATCATCACAGGTTCGTTTATGATTTTAATGTTTGTTTAAAGTTTGATTTCTGCTGCTCAGCTGTGTAAACAGACGACCAACAGGTCCGAGTGGGCAGCTAACAGTCTGCTAGCATCATGCCACTGTTAGCTTTGCTAGCTTACACAAATGTTAGCAGGTTAGGTAACTGCTGAGTCGCCGGTCACTGTTTAGTTTGTTTAGGTGTGTTATTAAATGATAATGCTAGCTAGTTTACGCTGCCAGGACTTCTTTAACATGCTCACAAGCGTTTATATTGTGATGTTACACTCAGTTTATTAGGTACACCTAGCTAATGCCAGTGTTCAGATAATTCACTGAAGTAAAAGTACAAATACAGATAAATGTAGTGAAGTAAATAGTACAATATATGTAATAGCAATACATGGAAATACTCATGTATATTACCTCAAAATGTTACAGAAGTACCGTACTTGTGTAAGTCTAAGTTGTATTCCACCACTGATACAACATGAAAGTTATGATGTTCAGTGTGTAGGTTGTGCTGCTGTTGTGTGACTGTCTGCCCTCCTTTATATACATGGGGTGGGTGAAATAATAGAAACACCTGTCAGTATACAGTTCAACAAATCAGTCAAATTGATTGTGGAATAATTAGTCTATAAAACATCAGTGTTCATCTTAATTTCCCAGACCCCCACGTATAGGACCCCAGTTTAGGCTACAACCTACCAATTATTCTCACTACCAGTTAATCAGATTCTTCTTCTATGCAACAGAATAGTGAAACATGTCCATCACAAGGTTTCCAGTTTTACTGGAGGTGACATTTTCAGTCCAAAGACTCCATTTGCAAGAATATTAAAAAGGTAATTTAAAATTATAAAAAGTAAATTCTCAAATTGGAGAAGCTGGGAGCAGAGAAGATTTGTTTTATATGTAAGAAAAATGACTAAGGCGCTAAGTTAAATGAAAACAGTTGCTGATTTGTTGTTTTACTTAATTAATTAATCGCTTCAGCTCTTAAATCAGTAAGCGTGTAATCAGAATAAAATAGTTGTCACTTCGTTCAAGATCGTAAAATGACAAAGTGAATCACAAAACATCATCTGTGTGATAACAAGAAAACTAAATAAATACAATAAATCTCATCTCCTTTTTTCCATAGTATTTGTTTGGTTCATTGGTATTTTTGGCTGAAATGACACCGATAGAATCCGATCTATGAATGGAGAGCTGACGTTCGTCCTTCCTGTTTCCCAGCTCCCTGCCTGTCAGTCATGGGTCTGCGGGAGTTCTGGCACGGCTACAAAGTCTTGATTGTGATGGGAACGAGTCTGGGGCTGATCCACTGGGGCTGGTATAATCTGAAGGCAAACCCACAGTTACGCAAAGTCAGAGAGGAGTACATTCCCGAGCCCGGCATCGTCGCTTACGTCTCTCCGCCTGTCGCTCCTCCGGCTGCTGCCAGGAGCAAGTAACTCAAACCGAGGTATTAAACTGTGTTTCGCCCTGCAGCACCTGCAGCTGGTTTCCTGTGCTCAGCTAATCAACCACCACCACGGCTGAGGTGTGTTCAGCTGCAGTTCCTCTTCTGTCCACTAGATGACGCTCCAAGAAAACCCTTCATTTTGAGGCAAATGGGAAAACCCCTTAATTCTCTCCATCAATACAAATTGAATGCAGGTTTTACACAACAAGTGTAATACTGTGTTCAAACAGTGTTCACTTTGAATGTGTCTGCTGGTGATGGTTGACGTTTGTGGATTTCAGAAAAGTGTTTTGAGACTGAATACCTTCCACACACACTATGTAAATAACCCAAACGTCTCTGCTCCCACGGTCAGTGAAGGTGTTCACTTCCACCACGTTGAAGGCCGTGACGCCGTGACGCATAAATCAGCTGGCAAAAAACAGCTCGGGTCCTTGCTGCCCACTGTTGACCGCAAACCGTGAAACAACCATCTATAAAGCCGCTCAGGTGGACTGACGTGTAAATCAGACGTGTGACTCGAACATTAGCAGCGATTTAGGGTTTTCTGAGCAACATCAAGTGTATGTAGAGACCGTCGACTCATCATGCAAACATCTAACCACGGATCTTTTTATTTTCAATGCGTTTCTCCATCAGGCTCATAAATGCATACAAACGTGGGTCAGAGGCTTCAAAACAAATGCACAGAGCAATTATAACTATTGAAACAGAAAATGAAGAGAAAGTTATCATAGTGTAATCTCTAATAATAATAATAAAAGAAAAGAAAAGGGAATTAATGATCATCATGGTTCTGTCTCCTGTATAACTTGCTCTAATGCGAGACAAACTACATTAAACTGCAGAAGATAAAAGGAGGTCTGCACTCTGTTAGGCTCCAGATAAACAGTTTATTTCTCTCTAAGGCACCGTATCGATCTGTAAGGGACCGAGGGAAAGAGACAAGCAGGCAGCTTCTCTGCGTGGGGTAACCTCACACATCCTTTTATTCTTATATTTCATACATAAACAGACGTTTCAGAGAATGTATTGTTGTGAAAATCTGCCTCAGAGTCTTGGGAAAGTCTGAGTAAAAACGTGTATGAGCCCTGGTACTTTAACCTGCATATAAATCAGGTTTCTGTGTCTTCTTCCCCCTGCAGAGGTGTCGGTATGAAGCCTCACAGCTGGCTCAGGAGGAACTGGCTGTGGGCCGCCGGCGGTGCGTTCGCCACCGTCCACCTGGCCACCTGGCTGATGCAGAGAGCCATGAGGAGCGCCGTGCGCTCTGAGGCTGCACTCAAACAGAAACCTGCTGAGGAAACACTGGACTGACGCTCGGTCACCTTCTCATACAATTCAAGGACAGGAAGCAGCTTGTGTTGAACACAGCGGAGGACTGAGACCAACACTACCACTGATTAACTCTGATGAACGATCCACTGTGTCCCCTTCAGTCCGACTTAGAATATTCAATTGTGAATCATAAAACTGCAGCGAAGAAGCTGCTTTGTTCCACAGATTTAGTGTTTTTTCTCTGTTTAATTTAATGGTTGGTTGATGAGTGAGGTGTGATCCACTGTGAATCAATCAATAAACCAATAAAATGATCAAAAGTATCAATCAAATGCAGAAACCAGTAAATACATATAGACTGTCTCTCTGTTTGGAACATTTTAAAAAGGGTCAAACTTTATCTCTTGTGTTCGCCAGCTGACAGGAAATAAAGTTTCCCTTTCCAATAAATGATGTACATTTAAATATTATATCAACACAAACATGATGAAGCTGTAAAATGTATTGCCAAAATATTCACTCACTTGTGTTTATAAAAGACACAATGTTAAAGATGAGTCTGGGTCAATTCTATATTATTATGTCGAGACTCAAACCAACAATGCATGTATCTGCCAACAAGTAATTCAATTTATTTTGTATTGGCTTTACAATCTGTACACATGCGACCTCCTCTGACCCGGGACCCTCACACTGGTACAGGAAGAACTCCCCAAAAAACCCTTTAAAAGTGAGGAAAAAGATGTATTTACCTCCATACATTTCATTTACAGTCAGCTGGGCAGCTCTACCTTCTGTAAATGTAGCTTCCCTGTATGAAGGTGGAAATGCTGTTTTAACTCCTTCACACTGAGCGAGTAAAATTCATTTCTACAAATCTCCCGTTCATAAACATGTTAGTTCGTCCCTCAATACTGTCTGACTTCCTGTCTGTGGCTCTCAGCTCTGAGCCCATTGGACGGCAATCTTTAAAAACACAAATATATAGTTTCATTTAAAACTGTGGTCTCTATCTACTTGTTGGGGACTACTTTCAGAGGCGGATTAATCCACAATTGGTGCTCTAGTGAGTATTTGAGGCAGCAGGACGATGTGTGTGTGAGACAGATTTAAAATACTGAAGTCAGCTTATAAAGTGTACACGTGTGCTTTTTAAAAAGTTGAAACAGCTTTCAGTAATATGTATTTTATGAAAGGTATTCTGGGAAAAGTCATTTTGATCAAATTACAGATTGATTGCAGACTTTCAGTTACTCTGAATCTCTTTGTTCTTTCAACGCTTAACCGCAGTGAAGATGTGAAGGAGGAAAACAATGTCCTGAGACATCAAAGTGTGGGGAAAAAAAAACAACCTTTAGTCACCTTTTGAACTTTAGCGCAGACTCTCCCATGTTAAAGAAGGTCCACTTAATATACAGTTTCTCTTCCTTCACTGTGAGTTAAGAGGGAAACGAAGCCATACGGGTTTGTTTTAAGAAATCATCAGATCGTGGACTTGGCTGAGACGAATGGCTGAAACAACTGGGCTGTGACTCGTGTGTGTGGGGGATGAGAGAGGAATGAAAAACATGTTTCCTTCTCTAAAATACTCAGAAATCCACTCGTGAAATTCAGCGTGTAACTTTGTTTTCTACAGATCTGTTGAGGAGGGAGGCTGGTTCTCTGTTGAAGATCCAGCTGAGGTCTGTGGACGGATTTTAAACCTGCAATCTGATGAAGTCTCTGAACAAGACTCTCAGTTCAGGATCTGGATCCTCTGAAGTCAAACTTTATTTTTTAGCTCCATTGCTGAGTTCTTTAAAGAGCTTTACTTTAGAGTGTTCATCTTGTTTGCACACACACTGTTGCAACAAGAGTCAAACCCTCTGTGAGACCGTAGTGGTGAAGAAATGATGGCGCTAGACGGAAGTCATCTGGGTTCATCCATGCACGGCCGACCCAAGTCGGACCAATCCATTGAGTAGATATTTGAAAACTTTAACTGGGGCGCTGGATAGAAAAGTCCAGAGGATCACCAAAGTCATTACAAATCATCCTCTGGAGACCATGAATACCAGCACCACCATCCATAGACGCGTTCAGTCAGCAAGGCCGAACTGTTCTTTTTACTAGAAAAGCAGTTTGAAGCTGATAAAACTTTTCTGCATTTGCTTTATTTTCCAAATCAATTCCTTAACAAGCTTCCATAATTACACTGCAGCTTGTGTTTTGCTGAATCAGAATTCAATTACTCGTTCTCCAGAGAGACAATTACAGATATTGATCATCCTCCACACCTGCAGACGTACACTAAGTCTCAGTGTTTGCCACACGTGTGACATGCTTTCCTAACTTCTTCCTGTTATTTTGGCTCAATGTATGAATGTAATGTGATCCCACACAGGAGATCTGCATGATGTTCAGACACTATATGAGAGCAGCAGATTCGGCTCTATGACCATGTTTTATTGAGCATTTTGTGATATTTTATAGGATTTCTTAAGACTGCAAGTTGTCCTGAGACAGACCGCAAATTAAAAGATAGTAACTGTAAGAGCTTTATTGGCCGAGTATGTGATCACTCACACAGAAATAGGCATAACAGCTAAGAACAAGGACAACAGAGCTGAACAAATAAGTAAAGACAGGGGTGTATAAGAATGCATATACAAAAAATAAATATATATAAAAGCACCAACAACATAAATAAAACATCTATTTACAAGTTAAGTGCTTCTGAAAGTTGTTAATATAAATATTGCAAATAAATAAATACTGAAAGGGGGAATAGTATGTGCATATTATATATATACTACAGGGAAGTGAGGAAGTTATAGTTGTTATTTATATATATCGTTATTTGGGTGAAGTAACCCTTTGACCTGCAGATCTCCAGAAGCACCACATCAGAGACGTGCAGCTCTCCTCCTGCTGCGTCTCCGGTACGCGTTTGATGGAGATCACGAACATGTGCAGGTTCCCACAAACACCCGTCACTCCACAGCGCTGACGTCTCCGTCTGCTCCAGGCCTGCAGGAGGTCAGAGGTCAAGGACATTAAGATACTGCGGATCCCTTCAACTCGGGACTCAGAACATATGGATGCATGTTGTGTTTGACTGGTTTAGACCGACTTAAACTGGAAGGGTTCAGCCAGCTCGCTGCGTCCTGTTGACCTTTTCTCTCTTTCTCCATTTCTCCAAAGCGAAGAGGAAGATGGAGATGAAGGAAGCTGCAGATCTTCCTCTGCTAAAAAGCTTCTGAACGCATATTTCTCCCGATTGTGGTTCCCTTTGTCATCTTTGGCTTTGTTTGAATTCTTCCCGCTTTTATTAGTTTTGTCCGGGCTGTTTTGTCTTCTATGACTTTTGTCGGCTTCGGTTTCTCTGCCTTTTGAGATTTTATTTTGCTTTTACTCCCCAACAGAATAACTGAGCCTCAGTTTAATCCGTATTTTGTTTTTTTAGGTTTAAACTGGAGGATGAAGTGGAGTGAACAGCCCCTGGTCTCTTCCCAGGATGAGCTAACCAGCCGCTGGCTGTAGCTTCATGTTTACCGGCAGACATGAAGGTATCAGTCTTCTCATCTAACGCCCTGCAAGAATGCAAATGTGCATATTTACCAAAATGTCATACTAGTCGTCTACGTTTTATAAAGATGCAACAATCAACTGGACATGATCTTGAAAATCATTGAATAGTTTTCAGCCATTATCAAAACATTCCCTGGTTCCAGCTTTGAGCATTTGCTGCTTTTATGTTGGTAAATTAAACATATTTGTATTTTGGATGTTTGGTCTCACAAAACATGACAAGTGAAGACGTCATTTTGGGCTCTGAGAGGCATCAGATTAATCGATAATGAAAATAACTGTTGACTGACTGAAATGTTCTGTTTCTCTCTGAATTCATGAACCAAAAGTTCCTTTTGGACCAAACTCCTACTTCACGTCAGCAGCAGTAATTATTCTCACACCTCCGAGAGAGTAAACACGGAGTAAAGATCGCAGCATGTTTGCCTTTTTAATTTGATATTGATCTGTTGGTTTGGTCTCTCAGAGGGAGGAGGAGGGTGCGTTTGTTTTCGTCAGGAGGACACACACACACACACACACACACACACACACACACACACACAGCTGAATAATGAGCAGTTATTATGTGCCATGTAAGAGCAGCTTTAAATCATTTTAGGTCCATGCTTCTTCTTTCCTTTCCACATTCCTGCAGCTTTTCCCTTCCCTGTGGTTACATGAGGCGGTCTTTAATATGTGTTTTTGTTATTTGGTTTTCTGATGGAGGTTTTCTTCTGATTATTAGTTGAATAAAAAGCTCAATTGAAGTGCAGTTTGACCTGCATAAATATGTTTAATTCTGTAATTTAAAATCAGTTCAACTGTCTATTTTATAGATACTTAAAGCAACAGTCCGACATTCTTCTCCAGAGAAGATTTAAATCAGTTTCTTCTCTGTGTGTCCAGTACAGATGGTCAAGGATGTGTTTAGCCTAGCTTAGCACAAAGACTGGACGCAGTGGGAAACTGTTAGCCTAGCACAATCAGAAAACACCACCTTCTATGGATGAGCCATATGGTCAAATTCTTCTTCCCCATTATAGGTAATCTCATATCTCAATAACAATATATATATCCATAAGTAGTCTATATGAAATAACACGATGGTAAAGCCTATGTTTGTATACTTCTGTATGAATTAAAAACATTACAAAGAACGCAACTGCAAATTAAACATAACAGTTTTAGGTGAAATTATAGAGAAAAGAATGAATATATTTCCAGACAAACACTGACTATGTTTACCTGCATGCAAACAAAAACAGAATGATCAGATTAAGACAATAGTTTGATTTAACTACACCGGGAACAATCAATCAATTCAGATTTTATGAGAAATTTGAGTTAGTATGTGCGTTTTATTATCAATTTAGAAAATACAATTGCGTATCCCAATATCTCGATATATGGCTTCCTCACGATATTATTCCATTGATACCTACATGTTACATGTTGTATACTGAACAGGTGTAGAAGTAGAAATGTAAAAAGGAGACAGTGTGGTTGAGGCTGGAGCAGTGACTCTGATCTAATCCTACGTTCACGTCATGATTGACTGGACTTGTCGATAATGGACATATTGTACCGACTGAGCTGCTCACTTTTCACTAATAATGCGTTTCCCAAACCACCAGACCACCCTGCTTACTGCCGGACCGAGCTTTGAGCTTGTAATGTTAATTTTCATTTTTGTGACTTTGGACCTTTACTATTTAACTATTTTTTGAACCACAACTCATTCATAAAACTACATTCGTTCCGCCAAGACAA